GTGACATACAAAATACTCACTTTGATTGGTAATGCCGCATGACTACTGAAATATCAAAGAGTATAATTAAAATTAGAACATTAATGAAACAAAAGCAGTAAAAACTAGATTCTAAACCGTTGCAAGGCCTTGTTATTTGAAACCACATAATACGTAACTAGTAGAAACACTAGTATAACGTCGAAAGCTATGAAGGCATACAACTGCAAGGCCAAGACCGTGTGTTCTTTGTCGAAGATGAATTCTCAGTTATGAATACATAAAGCTATACTATCCTTGTCTTTCTTCAGTATAAGCTTTTTATAGTAGAAAGGGAAAGAAAACGAAAGGTGTGCTACTAGCTAAGGCAGGTAACACGTTCAGGCGACAAAAGAGGTGGTATAGGAAAAAGGGAGACACGTGCGAGTTATTTTTAAATCCAACTCTTGCAGAATAACAATAATATCACGTTGCCGTCAAAGACTCAAATTGATAGTAATCGTTTATTCTAAATAACTGTTCCAAAATAAAACTAGGTCTGCTATTAAATTAATAGATGCAGTTGTCGTTTGTCAGATGTTGGGTGTTGTAATGCTTTCATTGCGGTTACATCTATAAATGTATACTATAATTTAAGTGAAGGTTTGACGATTTAAATTATAATACACTTTTTTACCTTCAAACATTTTACAATAAAATATTCATGGTGTGCTTGCATTTGAGTACCTGTAATATCTGTATCAGGAGGGTACACTTCTTGTCAGTTATTATATACGCAACAGAGAAAACGGAAAGAAATAATATTACAGAGTCAATTATTAATGCTACAGTAACTTCTTGCTGCAGAATTATTTGCGCAAAGCATAGAAGTTGCTAATTACATATACCACATAATGAAGCGTAAGTTATCGCTTGAGGGATAAAATGAATTGTAATATTAACTGACGATCATCACAATTATCCCGTTACAAGCATACCTATCATGTAAATAGTAATATTTGTTGAGTTTACCCTTGACGTCACAATGCTACCTATCGTCAGAACAGTATCATTAAAATGTTACTTGGAATTTTTTCACCTTGTTTACAAAAACCAGTCTATTCTTAGATTTATTTATTAAATATGTTGTATATAATTCAATATAACGCACACTTTTGAACCCAGTGCTAATATAATCTTTATGAGTGTAAATCACGACGTATCGGACGAAATAAGGCTGAGGCGATCGATTATAAAGATGCTTGACTTAAACCCAGTTGCACAAATGTCCAACAAAATTGTCAATAGTTGGAGACATTCGTTAGAGCTTCAAATCATCATTAAACCTAAAAGATTGTTTATGTAATTGAGTGATAGACGTTAAGATTAGACTCAATCAGAAACCGTATCCATTGTACTCTATGATTGTACTTCATCAGTGTTTTGTTTACAAAACAACCTGCTTGGTAACAACCTGTTTACCTAATTGGCCGTTTCATAATAAGGTATGTTGTTATTTGTTATCTAGAAATTAACTGTGAAAAATCAGATTTTTCTTGCATTGATTTACATGATCCTATAATTAACTATTCTTTAGCATAAACGAGAACAATTAAAACTATATGTAGATTCGACTCCTTTTATACATTTTAATAAAATGAAAATGCAATAATTATTTGGGTACATACTCATAATTACATAACAATGAACGCAATCAAAACCAATTTACATAACCTGTTTAAGTTTAAATAGGTAACAGACGACATTTTAATGAAAAAAAAAACCCATTTTAAACAAAAAAATACTAACATAAGAAATTATTCAGATTCACAAATCATGTATCTTATCTGTGACGTAATATGGAGATTCGTTGTCCGATACTAAAATAGCCTGCAGTGAGCGTGTGCAGTTCGCGGTAAAAATTTAGGCAATTTAAATATTTCCAATATAAAGTTTCCAATTTAAATTAAACAGTTCCAATTTAAACAGTTAAATACTCACTATGCGATGTGGAATAAATAAAGACTAAATAGAAATTAATGAACTGTCTATGGCACGGATAACATTATACATTGCATATTATGACGAAAATTGTGACTATCCGCAAACAGTCTGTTGATAAACTAAATACTGTAATTATTGTGTTTGATAAAATTTACATTAACGATACAACAAAATACTAACATGTAATATCTTATCTTCGTAATATTTTAAAGGCAAAAGTTTGTACATTGTTACTTCTTCACGCAAAAATTACTGATAGGATATTGATGAAATTTTGTATGTCTATCTACTTTTTATCCTATTTAAATGGTTTCTTAGAGACTAAAGACCGGAATGATCATGACATCAAGTATTACACGTAGCTTGTATATCATATATTATATAAACTACCGTCTAGTAATGAACGATATATTAGAAAAATAATTAAGTTCCCACACGAAACATCTAGTTTTATCAGACAAAATATTTTTGCTGGGCAAACGAAATGAACGTCTTTTATATTACTGAATTTATATGACTGAAAATTGTTATTTTTATATAATGTCCAAAAATAAGTCCACCAATTCAAACATTAAAAATAGACGCCAGATGATTGGCGAATAGCGGAATAACGTAACATTCTAATGCCTTCCAATAATATGTTTTTAATAGGTAAAGACATCTCTTCTGCAGATGTCTTTACCTATTAAAAACATTATATTTCAATAGGTTAAGACATCTGTATATTGTTCTAATAATTGATAGTAAATGTAGTAGTGTATTTTGTGTTTGAATAAGGAGTCAGGCATTCTTATTCACTTCAGCCAATGGATAAAGTTAATACATCGTTATTAGTTTAAAAAAAGTAAAGTAATGAAAAACTTGCCAACCCATTTTATTCGTTACTAACTAGAGCTTATACCTATACAATAAGTTACTAAGTTTAAATGTCATTTGATGTCCCCAATATGAAAGCACTTTAGCATCATCAATGTTTATCTAATGTGATAGATAACATTCAACAATAATCTGAGGAAGCCCAATATACTGATAGCATAAGTCAGTATTATTTTATTGTATATAGTTACTATGATAGATTGATATAAAAAATCGAACGAGTATCATCTTCAAGGTGTTACAGATACAGATCAGATCAGATAGACAATAGGTAGTGCATATTTTGAAACAATTTAAATTATGAGATATTGGTAAAAAAAAATCAGTTTAAAATAAAACAACTTTACTGAGTGCGTCAGTACTAGGCATGTCACATGTAACTTTATGATATCAGGCTAGATAAACAACAATCAACGGAAATAATCACCAAGAGCATGATAATAGTATTTTTGTGATTTTAATAATGACATATTACAAAAGTCATTTGAGTACCTAAACATTTATTACTCTTGAAACATAAAAGTTGTATTACGTTCGCTATATTCGCACCGAATTTTCACAATAATAGCTTATTGCTAGTGTTGAATTAGCTCTTAAACAATTGATTGAAATCAAAACGTGTAGAAGGGCCACCAACCCGCTCTTTACCAGCACAAAGGTTTCTAAAAGAGTTTTGTACTCCACGTAAGTATCTCTTTCGCCCTTCATGCATTTTATACATCAACTAGTCCAGTTGTGAATGAGGAGTGAACAGATAAGGGATTCCCGAAAGGTGGTCCGCGGAACTTTAGAGCTCAGTGAAAGGGAGACAGAGACTCCGCGTTCAGTATAAAAAAGTCGTAATGCTCACACGTTATTTTTCATTTATAATTTGTTCCTTCTTTCAAGTCTCCGATGAAAAATATTCAAACTATAATTTGGTAATTTAAATAGGATTCCGCCAAAAAAATATCATCAATTAAGGGTACCGAGACCAAATAAATTGTAACCCCTAGCTTAGGGCATCACGTTTAGTATTAATCCGGGACTACTCATTACCAATTAAAAATAATTACGATTTTGACTGCTTTAACAATAACTGGTTGTATCTAAGGGTTTGTGTTGTTTTTTCTCTATGTCAAATCCAATTTTTTTTTTGCCATCTAGTACCTACGTACAATTTCAAATTTTAATTATATTGTAAATGCTTTCGCCCGCGTATAGTATAAAAGTCATTCGCGTATGATATAGCTACCGTAGGTGAAATAATTTTCATGATCTTTATTCCCTAAAAAGTTAGAAACTTCAAGTTTATAATATTAGTATGGATGTATACATTAGTCGAACGAGTTAATGTAACAATAAAGATTAAATTGAAATAATAATTTTTAAGTTGAAGCTAGCTGTAAATGGCATACACAGTATGTATGTATGGTATGCACGCACCTGGTTCTTTTAAAATGACTCATGTATTCTATAGACAAAGACTGCACATTTAAAGGCAACGAATGAATATTTATTTGAATAAATGATTATATCAAAACGTATAAATATATATAGAATAAAGGCATTAGCAACAAATAACGTTTTAATATTACAGAGTTGCTATTTCGTTTTTCCTCTGCAACGGGTTTTGCAATTTCTTTCAAAAACTACTATAATAATTGAGCACGTTATATTAATTAACCTAGTCTTAAATCGATTCTTGTGTAAGGAAAATTAGATAATTTATTATTATTAATACCATTTGTTATACCTATTATATAATATAGTAATACCATTTGTTATTGTAAAATTATTGCTCATCAAATATTTAATAGTCACGTAGTCGATTGACGATTTACGTAGGTGGCATAATATTAACAATAATAAGTAGGTAATTAATGTTTTATCTATCGCACAATAGAAAACATATTTATTCAAAATCTTGAGACACACCTTTATTTTGTACTAATAATACTATATTTTTGTACAATAGAAGCAATCGTGCTATCATTATATCTCCACTGAAGTCAGAAAATTCTACTTGCAAGAATGCCGTACTATGACCGGCAAAGATACACAGTACACGACGAACGCGTTTCCGAAAGCACTTTCGCCTCCGTTCGGCTATTGTCGGCCCGCGCTCGCTCCCCACAGCTGACTGTACCAATAAGCGAGCGAGACGCAAACTGCCGAGAACATAAAGATCGAAAGGGACCGCGCGCCGCGCAGTCCCGCCGTCCGCCATTTATTTCTTTCTAGTGCTCGACACCGTCGTAGTGACAACGTATTTCATTATCAATAGCGAAAAGCTTATTCGTTTTACTTGTGAAATTTATGTATTAAATTTTATGCAAATATTGTAAAACTAGCGTGTATACGGTTTGTGGTTATCTACAATGGAATCTAATGTGTCTTATTTAGTGTCGTGAGGAGCTCGCAAACGAAATATGGCTGGCTCCATCGCATCTGTTGTCAACACAAAATAACGTGGATTATGCAAGTTGGATTAAAATGTGAACGAGTATTAGGTAAATTGTATTTTAAATATGCCATTATAAAAAGATTTGTGGAAGTGTACGAGTTAGTAGTGATTAAAAGCTACAGGAATACTGGGAATTCTCTAGGAGTTAACAGTGCGGATTTCTGTAAGGTGAGCAAGAGATGTATGTAGCTGCTTAGTCTAGCTTTGTTACCAATCCGAGTACTTGCTGTTAGATAAGTATTTATAGGTTTAGAAAAGTAAGACTCCTCCCTAATTGTTCATTGTCGGGAGATTCGCCTATGATAAAATGAAATTATTTGTGAAGTAATAATTACTCTTTTAGGTTTTTACTATTCCAAATGTACCCGAAAAATTTATTATTTTAGTTAAGTATCTATGACCATCCTAAAAATTTGCACTTTGTACAATTTCCTCCAATAAGTAGCACAAACTAGATCTAGATTAATTAATTGTTTAAATAATTAAGGTTAACAGGTGAAATAATTACAAGTCAATATAAAATTTAATATAAGTCGTAATTTATTATACTAAATAAAATCAAATTGCAATGAGATAAATAAATATTTCATAAAACGGGTTTTTAATTAAAATAATAAATTTGGATGGTTTTCTAAAAGCTTTATACAATATTTATTACTGGATAATAGTTGTGATAAAAATGCAATTCAACAACAATAAAACTTTATGCCTATTGAGTAATTTACAAAAAAGCTTTAGGCTTTATAATTTTTTTCATTGTTCCAGTAAATAAGATTATGTGGGTTGTAATATAATGCATTGGCCGCACAAAATATTGGCGCTGGCAATAATTTGCGCAGCTGTGGAGGCGGAGATATGCCCTACCACGTGCTCTTGTGACAATACCCGGCTCTCATGTCTCAACACAACTGTCCAAGGAGGCAACCTCACGCGAGCCCTCATTGCCAACTATGGCTCCAATCTTCAAGAGATAACTTGGACCAATTCAGACATCAATTACATCATTATAGGAGCTTTTGAAGGATTATATAATTTAGAATACATCGATTTAAGCAGAAACGAAATCAAAAGAACTGAAAACAAACTCTTCAATGAACTCACTCGGTTAAAACATTTAAACATATCGAGGAACAAACTTAATGATATACCCAGATTAACATTCATCGATCTAGAAAATTTGGAAGTTTTAGATGTGTCTCACAATGATCTCCAGGTGATACCGTTCCAGGTGTTTGCACCGCTGAGTAGATTGCAATATTTGGATATATCATATAACAGAATAGCCACATTCTTAGATTTCTATTTTAATCCTAATAGACAACTGAAATCATTGTTCCTAAATAATAATAGCCTAGTCAAAATTACTTCTAATGCTCTAGTCAACTTGAATAAATTAGAGACACTGGATATATCGAGCAACAAACTAGAATATATTCCTAAAAATATGTTTGATTACTTTGAACAACTGAGGAATCTTAATCTTAGTTACAACCACTTTCAGAACATATCAAGTAATTCTTTTAAAAACCTAAAAAAATTAAGATGGTTAGATATGGGAGGAAATAGATTGAGATTGTTGCCACCGATGCTCTTCCATAATAACGAAAATTTGAAAACTCTCTACCTGGATCACACTGAAATAACAGTTATACAAAACACAAATTTCAAGGGCTTGAATAATTTACAGGAACTCTATATAAGAAATAATAGTCATTTACGAGAAATAGAACCATTCGTTTTCCAAGATACGTTATCTATCACACATTTGGATATAAGTGCAAATCTTTTATCATTTTTACCATTGTCTATGAAACAGCTCGAACAATTGCAAGAATTGAGAATATCTAACAATCCTTGGGCCTGTGACTGTAGAATGGCATGGTTTGCTGGCTGGGTAGATCAGAGACCTCAGATCATTAAATCTGATTTAGGCTGCGGCCCTCTATCCTATCCTAATGATATGTTACCAATTTTGAGACAAACCAATTGCAAACCACCTGAATTGATACATACGAGCCCATTAACTCGATATAGATTGCAATCAGATGCTTTATTGGAATGCAAATTTAGTGGGAATCCGCTGCCTTCAATAACTTGGATTACACCTACCAGTGCCGTATACCATTGGAACCCCGACTCGTCGATACCAGACATTTTCCACAAACATGGAGTAGCTCACGACCAATACTATCGCGCTATAGATAATGAGAAGTCTAGAGTCAGAATTCTTGACGATGGATCACTGTTTATCACAGATATTCATAGGGAAGACTGTGGAACATACTTATGCTTTGCAACGAATCCTTCAGCCAACGTGACGGCGGAGGTTATCCTTAATATAGATCCTATGACAATGTTCGAGATCAAAATATATAGTCTAATATGTGGAGCTCTATGTGCTGCCGGCTTTTTAGGTCTCACTTTGTTGGTACAGTTTCTAAGATATATATTTTACAGGTTAGTACCTACACTACAAACATAGTTGACTTATCTATGCATCATATAAAAACATAATAGAAACTAATATGAATTCTTATATTATTAATTTCAGATTCCGTCTGATGGAGACATGTTGCAGTTGTTGCACCTGCGTCAGTAGAGACGCGCCACGTACGCGACAAATTTACAGTATGCTAGACAACATAGAACAGTATAAGAGACAGCAATTGGATAAATTGAGAGAAAATTACGCAGTTCAAGTAAGTTAAAATTTGAGGATTATATTAATTATGATCATGTCATAAATAATTTTATTAATTATCCAATAATTTTATCATGGCTTTCTAGGTTCATCGTATAAAAGACAACTGTACTCAACAAATGGAGTGGATACAAAATAGCTACTCATCGCAAGCTAGCCATTTACGAAATATAAGAGACATAGGAACAAATCATTTGACAGCTATGAAGGATCAGTATTATGACCAGGTAACATTTGTTTTACTGGAACAATAGAATTCTTAAACTTTCCTTTGTTTGTTAAATACATCCAATAAACGTGAGAAGTATGTCACTCGGCACTTTTTCTTTTTATCATCTAAGATAAATATTCACAGCCAATTAACTGTAATATAATGATAAAAACACGTTTAAATGTAATTTGCAGAGTAAGAATAATAAAATCTGCATTTCTTAGTAATGATCGTCATAAACTATATTTATTTTTATTCAGTTTTTCGCAGTTTTAAAATTGTTTATTAATATGCAGGTAAAACGCGTCAGAGAATACTCTACATGTCAACTGAACTGGGTACGCGAAAACTATGTGTTCCAAAGAAACAAAATCAGAAAATTCAGTGCTCACCAGATATTACGGCTTCGCGAATCATACAAGTACCAGCAGCAAACTTTGAACAAAGTTTTAGAGAACCTACCAAGTCTATACTTTGAAAACTGCCGCAGCGGTTCTTGTGGGCGCAGCGACTCGATGGCGTTCGATCCGGACGTCGAGGTCATAGACATGTACCTCAAGACGAAGATAGAGAAACTAGCGCATCTGCCGAACCCGATAGCGGACGATGAGAGCAAGATGTCCGTGTATTATACGCCCACGGAGAGGTCGGTAAACTCACGCAGAAATTCGCCCATTCCCATTCCCGATGGCATTCACATCAATATGATAGAACGTGGCCCACCGCGATTGCTGGCGATGATAAAGCCACTGCAGTGCGAACCACCACCGTCTGTCGAAATACCGACACCGCCGGGTTCTCCATCGCCAACAACATCTAGATGTGGAATGCCTGTGCGGCAGCCGAAGTACAGTCACGGGGAATCGGGTCATCGGGAGCCTTTGCTGGGACGCGATCATGTGGTGATAGAGAGAACGCGACGTAAATGTCACCTGCCTTCGAGCGCAAGTTCGCCGGAGCTCAATTCTAACAAGGACGGGAACGAACGTAGTGACCTACACGAGCAGGCTCGGGTCCTGCTCGCAGTGGAGCTGACGAAGCCGGAATGCCAGGTGCGGCATGCAGCTGGTCAACTAGTGTGCGGCGAGTGCGCAAAGCTTTGCGAGAACACGCCCTTGTAGTACAGGCTACTGACGCGCGTCTTTAAAATTTACGCGTTATCGGGTCAGAGACTTACGCGGCACCGTCACCCCGACATGCGCCTCTGTGACTATGCCGGTGGGCCTTCGCCCTCTTACGTGTAGGAACATATCTTGCCGAGCTGATGGAGTTAGTGAGAAACGTTTCGCCGTACGGACGCTCGCCGCCGATGCGGATACCGCTTGTACTTCTAAGTGAGCTGTGATAGACTAGATTTGAATTTACATACGTTTCGACGGTCGCTTGCCCGATCGTCTAGTGGTAGGTTGTAAGGAGTATACTGAATTTGATCTGTTATCGATCGTGTAGTGAATCTGATCCTGTTTAATTAAGTGTTCTGTGGGTAATAGGTCATGTAAATATGTTTTTATTTCGATCATTTTCCATTTTGATGTATACTTAGGGTAAACTCTTAGAGCATTATGCATTTTATATTTGTTCAACTTAAAAGTAGAATAAAGTGAGGTATTATGAAGTTGTTACTATCTTGTTGTATTGTTGCGCGGTTATTGTAAATTGGTGTATCTCGCTAAGCCGCCACTCAGTCACCACCACCCACAACACATTAAGTCCTTCGTCATCTGTTATATTATGTCAAAATCTGACCAGTCGAAACTACATCAATTTATATTTATGTATACTTATATATTTTGTAATTACGTACAGTTTGAACGAAACGAGTCTTGCAGTGATATGCCAAATACTACAATCCAGCAATGATAATTATAGCGTTTCTTAGTATAATATATACAAATATTGTTGAAGATTTTCTAAATATATAACAAGAGTAATCAGCTAATCATGAAGAATAAATTATTTTTCAATGTATTTCTTTGTATCATTTCTTATCTAACCATTCAGTCATAGACGTAGCCAGAGTTGAAAATTATAGGTGATACGAGTTTTTTAAGTCAGAAAAAAGGTGTCAATTATAATATCTGCCTGTTAAGTAAATTTGGATACTAGCCTAATTAGTTAAAAAATATTTATTAACAGCCCCTTGGAAAGCATCATATACGCAGAAGATCATAAGACAAAATTTATTATATTTTCTCAGTCAGAACTATATAATCAAAACATCTTCCTTTCTTGTCAAACAACACAGAAAATACTTAGTTCATTTCTTTCACTCTGTGTACTGTGAATCTAATATTTTGAGTTCCTATACTCCATTCATTATAGTATTAGACAGAAGTTAAATAAGGTTCCTTTTATGGTATACTTTGTGACAAACTATCAAAAATCAGGTTATTATTAAGTCTGACGGCTTATTTGCTACATATCCACAACTATAATTCATTGCTTTGCAACAATGCTATAATTCACCGTTGTCGTTTAAGCTATATATTAAACAAATTTATGTGTATATGACTAACTTGAATGATTTAATAACTATTACAATAAAAAATGTCTATCTTAAAGAACCTAAAGAAAAAGGGTTGAATAGTCTTTTTTTTTTAATATGTACTTGTTCCGTTATACACGGAAATTTTGCCAACATCCCGTTGTGAGAGACACGTGACTCAAGAGACTTCGGCACGATTCTCATGTAAACTACCAAATTCAAAACGTTGCGTAATCCCTTCAAACGTTTCGGCAGTACAGCTTTTTAAATTTGTCAGATTATGATGCATTAATTACCTATCACATTTTAGGAAGTTTTTCCAATGTCTAATAATGTCTGAATAAATGTTATAAAAGTAATATTAAAATTTCATTTTATTTACCTTTTCTTCCTGGGCATAAATATAATTATATACATTTACAATTAGAATTTATCAAAAATAGTTTTAGTTCCATGTTGGCTTGGGAGCAAAAGATGAATTTAGAAAATACTGGCCTCATCTCAACCCCGACGTATCAACAAAACTATTATATATATATTTATATATATATATATATTTTATAAATTAACTTGAAAATAAAATGTTCTGCCCTGCTGCTTCTGTGATTACCTTTTTACTAATGTTATAATGAATGGAGTATAATGGTCCAGTGAGGACCATGAACATACCCATTAAAAAAGCGTGTTTAATATTAATCTGATCGCAAAAGATACGTATGAGTCTCCTTCCAATATCGCATTACCCTGTTTACTTTTACACCAACACTATCTTACAGAGCAATCTTGTTTTCTCATCTATTCATTACTGACAATCTGCAATCGTCACTTTTATCTTACTTACATGCCCCCTGTAATATTACTCTCTCTGTCTCTCACTTTAAATATATATGAATTGTGGTCCTCAATCTGTGGTAAACAAATAAATTTAACCCTCTGTCGCTTCCGTTAGTTCGAGTTGGATTGGAATCACTACTACGTGCATAACAACGTGCTATTTGAAAATTAAGTTTCTACTACCAAGAAACCTACTTTCCTACGCTCTATATACATAGTTCTTTACACACACTCTTCTCTCCACATCAGGTTACTTCCGTTGGAAAGCACATTCAATACCTGCGCATTTGATTCAACATTACATTATCAACTGTAATTCTTTTTTGTTTTATTTGTCCTGTTAGTGTTACTTTGATATACCCACTTTGATGTTCAAATTTTTATCCATACAATATTTTATTACTGTGACTGGTTTATTCGGTACAGATACGTTTCCTCCAAACACCACAGCGTTAATTGCCTAAAGCCGAAAACTAACCACTTGACCACCCATTTTAATCTCACATTTACCTTTATTCTTAGAAGACAAATATAAGTATTATAATTCTAACTATTTTTAAGAGAAATAACTATAATTAGTTGATGTACTACTGGTATATGCTTTGTGTATTTGATATTCCATGACAATTAAACATTTAAACAAGATTGCTTCTGCCATATTAGATACTTTCCAAATTTTAAAACTCACTTTGCTGACAAATACCCTGAATTTTCATTACTGGCCACTACCATGATTTCAATGTACACACAGAAGCAAGTCGTATCGCCGCAATATGTCAAATTCAATAATTGAAATTAATTTGATTTATCGAATGGAAGAATTTGACTTCTTTTACATAGCCTGACGTGCTGTTGTCTGTATTCTGGATGATGATAGTTATTATTATATCAACGATTTGGTAATTATCATTAAATAATCATTAGTGTTATTTAGTACAAATGCATGCTCTGCTGTATTACAAATAAAACACGTCATAATTTCTTAGAAATTTATTGGACATTTCATTTACGACATTGGAACATGCAATAAATAATGCTACTTTAATCAGCCAAATAACTAAATGATATTTAGACGTTAATTTTACGAGAAACTTTAAGAAGTTATTTAATCATATAAAATATATATACTTAAATACACATCTAAAAATGCCAAGTTTAGTTTCTTATATCGAAAAATTTTCAATTTCCATACATGACTTGATACACGTCATATTTTAGTAAACTTTTATATTGAATATAATAGATTGGCTAAAACCACTGCTGAACTCTATTTTTTATTATAGAGCTTTATTATATGTTGATCCGATTGAATTAAATAAAAATCACGATGATAATTAAGAGTTCTTATGTAAAAAAGAATATAATTCTTAAAATAGATACTTAACTTATTGACACTAATTATAAAAAGACGAAATAAATTACTTATTATTTGTTTAATAACTTTAACTAAAATTTTATATTACACGTAATAATAACAAATGTAGCTAATGAATTTTGTAATGACTATTTATGGCTGCTACTGTAATAATTGTTCCTAGAATTACCGAATAAACATTTAGTTCCGGTACGTAGTACACAGAGCAGCATATCAGATTACAACAAAAGGACTTTCTGCAATCAATTTAAAACATAATTATTAATTTTAATAAATCAAGTCTTGAAATCGATTGTAATTCGCTTTTCTCATAAATGTGAGTGTTATAGGGAATATTATTCAAAGCTCAGAGCAAATCACAGCTTTATAATCTGCGCAATGCGCTAAGTCCTATATAAGTTAATAAATCATTATTGAAAATGTTTAACATCTTAATTACGATTCAAGTATCAAAAACCTGTACTATATAAGTATGATATCCTAAGGAGAATAATAAGATTTTTTTATATGTTTAGAGTGGAAATTATAGATTGTCATGTGTTAGAAGAGTCAAAATTATTATTCGAATAAAATCAAAATTAATTCTTTATGAAATCTTCAAATTTAGGATATATGTATGTATTCGAAAATAGTTCGAGTGGTTTTGCCAGACCGCTGTTAAGGTAAATTTGTAAGATTTTGTACTATTCGCCTTTTGGAAATGGATTAACTTCATTGTTACATCCAAATATGCAGCACCATGTTACTTTACTGTTACCCTTTACGTTTAAAAAACAGAAAGTTGCATTAATACTACTAATGCTTTTATCAGCGCGAAAGTTCACTATTGAATATGCTTTTATTACCGCAAAGTACATATCACTTGAAGGTCCTAATTAAATAACTAAAGCTCTTCAGACAACCGAAACAAAAATTCTTATCGACGACATCAAGAACAAAAACAACAAATATCAATTACCTAAGTTTAACAAGAAAGTTCTTCTCTAGTTGCAAACCTAGAAATTTACTAAACTTATTTATTAATCTTAGCCTAAGTAACGGTTTCGTTAATATGTCGGCTAATAGTGATTCTGTAGTCACTTAGTCGCCAACCAAGTCTCCATCAAATACCAGATTTGTGACAAAGAAACGTCTACTTCAGATATATTTGATTCTGCGTTAATCTCAGAGTAGCTCTATTGCCTACTTGCAGTACCGGTAATTGCTGCTGTTGTACTAAGCTGCCAATTACTATGGTTAATCAGACATACTAACTTGAACGGCATAATACGCCTATTATAGATCTCCCAGTGTTTATATCGCCGCCGTATTCTGCATGACTGTAACACTCTAAATGCCTTTATATCCAAGTTCAATGTGTACTGCAAAATAGCGCTGATTTCTTTTTAATTTCACCACGTTAACTTGAGTCGGTTTCTTCAAATTGCTCGAAATTACACTTCCAATATTTTTCGACCATTTGTACGCTAGATTTCCAACTATATTACTATTGACTCCTTTTTAAACAAGCAAGAAGTTGCTACATTTGGACATTATTTTCTTTAAAAACCGGCCAAGAGCGATTCGGACTCGCGCACGATTATTTACGTACCATTATCGATTAAAAATTAGAAAAAAAAACATATTTGTTGTGTTTTCTATGGAGATGTTCGAAATTTTCGAGTTAATTACAATTGGTCGACAATTACTCGTATGTAAAGCCAACATAAGTTATATAGTCTTACTTTTAACATCGTTATTTATATATAGGTATTACTGCCGTGCTGTTGAATTTTTACCAACGACCGTTTAGTTAGTAAGGACACTTGTCTTTTGGTAAGTTTTTCCAGGAGCATTTTGATTAATCGACTCAATTTTAATGGACATTGGGTTCTTACTTATTTTTTGTCATAACAAAGAGAGGCCTCTTTCTGACGGGCTGGTTCGATATTTATAAAGTTTTCGAATCGTTAAGGCTGTCCGAGTACAGTATCATACTCTTTTTATAGTCTGTAAAATTCCTCAATAGGTAATCTTTCCATAGCATTTTCAATGTTGCTGTCAGACATCCCGTCATAAAATCATCTTCACCATTATCAACAGAATGTCACACGACTTCAGGTTCTGTATTAACTATTCCATGAAGATCCACAAATGTACTTTGTTCTCTACTATCAGATAGACTTTCAGATTCAATATCAACCATTCTTGATCATTTACAAGTTTATTCTGTGGTTTCATACTTCATGCGTAGCTTTCTTTTTGTCTCATTCTTCGTCATCATGGCCTTTTTCACCTATCTTTTGACTTCTTATCTCTTTCCCAGTCTGTATCTATCGTCATTATCATAACCTATTAATGGCATTTCTTGGCTTTATGTAATTTCTTCCTATTTTATTTAGTTACATTCACATACACATAACCCTACTGATCCCATGATCCTCAAATGTTTGATTCTAGGTCTCTTTCCTAACGAGATTAAATTAAAATTAAAACAATGATATGTAATCCACTGTAGTTGGTCCTGTTCTATTTAAAATAATATATGCACATCGGTATAACCAGCACAGCCCACAATGAATTAATGACAATGATATTTATATAATTAACTACTTTTTAATGCTCTACTTATAAAAGAGAAAATATAATGTTTCTTTAGCAATAACAATGGCAACATAGCAAAACTTGTTGGTAATATGAAAAAAAAAATTGTACAATATTTTATATAACCATAAGATTCTTTGGAAATCAAATGCTGGTCAAAGCTTTTAGTATATGTAGTACAGAATAACTTTGAAACAGGCTGCACTACATACCCATTGTTTTACCAAGTTATTCATTAATAACTTTTTTAAATGGATGAATTGTTTACTCGAATACTACTTTATCTACTAAAATAAAATCTATTTCAGTGATCGATGGACTATTGAGAACAGTGTCAGATTTGCCCTAACACCTCAGTAGGCCCGGCTTAGGGTGGTCAGATATTAGGAGCTGCAAATAACGGGATACAAAATTGTTTGCCAACAACTGAATGATGAAATACCAGGTACAGGTAAATATATCTTTACTCGTTTATCCAAGACAAACTCACAAATTAAGGCATGTTCCTGAGCTGAGACAAGAATTGGAATAAATCAGTTCTTATTACATTACAAAGTGTTTCATGGATTGAAGACAGTTATTAATCGTGGTCAGAATAGACAATCTAAACTGACATCTACTAATATATTAGCAATAAGAAATTATATTATTTCATTGTTACATAAAGACAATTCAATTTTGGAATCTATTTCAATGAACATTATTAAGAAAAAGGGGCGACTTGTACTACGTAGACTTGATCAGCCAAGGCTGCAAACACTCCTCTGATTGAAAACCAGACTTTGTAACAAAAGATCTATGTAATAAAATTAGTTTAAAAACTATTATTAAAGACATATAGACCAAGTAAACTGAAAATAGTTTATTGTTTCACTCCTATAACGATAACGTCAGTTCAATGAAACCCTTCGACAATTTGGAACCATAGCTGCGCATGTAATTCATATATATATTTTTTCATAAACATAAAATAACTTGCACTAAAAACCTAGTTCTCCAGTGCCGAAGCACTGATCGCGACGACGTTCCGCGCTGTTTACGTACTTTCTACTAGATTAAACAGTGAAATTGACAATAAATTAACGCAAACTTCCATCAAGTACATTTAATGCAACTAAATCACATTAGTGTCGAATGCGACATAAGACGTTTGATCAAAAGGAGCAAATTCGCCGCGATTTTATATTTAATATTGTCAATGTTTTATTTATTCTTTATTACTAATAACGTAATGCGTCTTATTCGCGTGTAATTCTAGTTAGTATATAGACCGTATTAGTTAATATATAGAACGTAAATGGTAATAAGAATTAATTGTGATTTACTGATCTAACATCGCATCTATAGATTGTGCATAAGCTTTAAAAAAAACTAAACTTGTAACACAATATTTTAAAATGTGTATGTAATAATATAAACAATCACTAAATGAAATCATCTTTAGGCACAATTGATAATGACGATAACTAAGCGTATTCTGAAAAGCGTATGTTGAAATTATACCATTTCTTAATTCATTTAAATGTATATCTTTCCATATATTTAAAGTTAACATTTTGTAATGATAAACAAACAGCAACAAGTATGAATCATAAATTTTTAAGACACAGTTTGAGTCAGATGTACGCTTCTTACATTAGCGCTTTAAAGTCAAATGACACATTGCAACAAATGAACATTGGAAATAGAACCCAACTCTCATTATATTAAGATTCACTTACCTTGGCAGCAGTTCTGTTCCACACGACCACTTTATGGCCAGAGTTGAGAAGATTCTTGACGATACCGCCGCCCATGATGCCCAGCCCCAAGAAACCGAATTTCATCTGGCTCGCCTTTATATTCTTCTCCAGGAGGGTCTCCGATACGTTCTCCAGGTCGAGTGGTGGTGTATCCTGTAAGAATAGCAGTATTTAAGTGTGACTTGATATTTATTTTCATAATTGGTTAATACACCATAGATCTACAATAGTACTATATTTATTAGTTACACCTATATCTCGGTATTGCGGGATCCCGTATCCCGTGTTCCGGGAAAATGGATGCAGAATTTGCGGCACTGTAAAAGGCCTAAGATCTCTCGCAAGCGCGATCGCCCGGTAACTGACAGATCGTACTGACGGACGACATTACCAAACTTAATGATTAAAGACTTTACTTTTATCAACGTTCAGTCGAAAATGTATGTTGGATTATAACCAATGGTCGGAATTAGGTAGAGTTATTCATGTACTTACACTGATTTCATACAGCGAAAGAATAAAGAGGATATGCCTCAAATCCCGAGATTAATTTTAAAGAGCAGAAAAAATCCCGTTATTTTTTAAATAAAAGTTATTTACTTTTACACAATTTCAACTACTGCACGCACGACGTTGCCAAACTTACATCAATGAAAGAAAGAAATAAAGAAAGAATAAATAAAGAAATCCCGGGAAGGTCCACATTAATATCAACATTTCGATGCAAGTACATAAATAACTCTACCTAATTCCGACCTCTGATTATAACTTAATATAGGAGTAGTAAGTAGATATATATTTTGTAGTTGAAAGATTTATGTTCTTTCGTTTTTTTTTTTGAGTTTTCAGTGATAAATAACGGAATCCCGCAAATACCGGTATCACAAGAGATGAAAATCCCTAGTTCGGCAAATACCGTGACTGAATACAGGCTGCGGGATTGGGAGGCTTAATTGCCAATTCGTTATTTTCCACGTTTGCACGAGAGCTATTTTAGTTTGTAATTAATTGACTGATGCGTGTACGCATCCCATTCATGCATACATCCCCAGTATTGTAACACGTCTCGACAGAATATATAAATGTAAACTTTAATGTAATGCTTTAAGAGTCCAATTACAAGGATTTCAGTATACATAACCCCGGTTAAGGGCGACCTAAGGTTGAAAAGGGCAACCTATTCTGCGCAAATTTTACCAGTACTGATTACCAAATTTTACGAAAATGCTAGAAATACAGTTAGCGTCATAGTTATCCAAGCGCCCAAGGTGATCAAAAATATGTCATGTATAGAAGTTCAATTTATCTAGAGAATCAAAGTTGCATATTCATCTAAGTATGCAAAGTGACCAAAAAATCTTGGCATCATTTCTTTAATTTTTTCCTTAAAACTTGTTTCAAATCGATTTGAATAGCTTCTAGTCGAATAGTGTTGTATTAATTCGAATAGAGTTATAGAAGATAAAAATTGAAGAAAGGTTACCAAGATATTTTTATCACATTGCGAGCTTTTCGTTTAAATCAATATGCAACTTTCGTGGCCTAGATATAACTGAAATTCAGTACTCAGCATTTTTATCACCTCAAGCACTTGATTGACGATGAAGAATACCACTGACTGTTACCAAAAATAATATTGCAGTATCCTATTGGTCTTTTCACTTATGCAATTATGATTGATGATTATGAGAAATATATGATCGTATCCTCATTAGATTTTATATAAATGTTATATATCTTTTGCATCAAGAGGTCACCTGATAGAGCAAAACAGTTTACGAAACGCATATGTTTTTGTCTTTGACTTCTTCCCCTGCTTAGTTATCATTACTTCATTACTAATTTGATGTCGAATATACATTTCCAAGAATTACAAAAAATTAAAATTTCTTTAAAATAAGCTCTTATTTGGTATATTGTATTCTACAAGTTAAGCCCTTTCATTTGAAACCCATATCTGGTGGGTTGTTCTGAAATATGCCGCCATTTTGTTACGGCAGCCATTTTGGATTAATAATAATATCAATTATATATAATTGCATTGTCCTCAGACTTAAAGGTATATTTCAGAGACTGAGAAGTGGGTGAAATTTAGCTTGCATGACATGATTACAGAAAGACATATAAACGGCTGATATTAGATAAAGCTTGAAAAATTTAAGTCTTATAAATGTAATCATTTCTTGCATTATACTGAGAGAGATATCATCTAAAGTTTACTACAACAAGTTTCTACTGTATTAGCACAACGAGTTTCTAATGTAGAAGAATCCATTCTATAATTTATGTAATAGATGACACAAATATAGTACCATTACAACAACAAGCAGCTATCGAAGAAAGCTATAAACAAAGAAACTGTTCTCCAGCACTTACGGGTCTCAGTATGTTGGAAGGACGATGCAGCAGGCTCGACTTCTTGGAGAAGGAGTGGTTGAGCATAGACGGTTTGTCATTGATGTCAGAGTCTGTGTACGAACGGGACATACTCGTGCTGCTTTTCGCCTTCTTGCGGGGCGTGCCCTTAATACCGGCCGACGATGACCGCTTTATAGGCTTCACCTTTGAAATGCCCAAACGTATCTATAAATATTTAGAATCGTCAATTTTCAACAGGAGTTATCGATTTGCAATAAAAAAAGAAGATTGTTTAATTGAAACATGCATAGAGTAAACAGACTTTTAATCATTTATTTAATAATATATAATTAAAGTATTATAAATCACTGATATAACAAAGTGGTCAATACATACTGAATGTCTGCAATGACCAACAAATTGTCTGCAAGGACCAACAAGTTGTGTGCAATGACTAACAAGGGATCCACAATGACTAACAGGGAATCACAGGAGTGGAACTACATGGAGTTGGATAATAATAAGAAAATAGTGTATGTTATTTATCCTTTACTGCCCGTGCTACTACAGTTCTTGCTACCAGTAATAATACCGGTAAGGCGTTAACCTGTCTTACTGCTGTAGTTGAAAGTTATTAGAACAGCAATAAAATATTGCTCGTGTTACTACCGTTTAATTTTAATTACAAAAACAAACACAGTATAGGGAATTTAATTTTTTAACAAAATACAACTGCATATAAAAGCGTCTAGGGATCAAGAGCTTTTTTACTAAAAAAATAATATCTTGTTAATCAATATTAAATCTTGAAAGTTAACATGAAACCACACAAAACAACAGGAAAATCATCGTAATTTATCGAGGGCGTGGCCTATCGAGATTTCACTATTCAATTATCCAAAAACCCATCTTTGGCATTAATATTAAGTCACTTTAGACACTTTATTGCACAATAGAATAATCGCGACAATTAAGTGAGAATTATATCAGATCATTTAGATATAGATAGATAAACTTACCTTTGGAGTGGAGCTCTTCTTTTTGACCTCAGGAGAAACACTCTCTTCTGGATCAGTTTTTTCTTCCTGATCCTCACTAGATTCCATAACATCTTTCAATTTGTCAAACTCCTCCTCAAGGTTACGGGCATGATCATCTAGATCACCAAATTTCTATAAAAACAATATTAGGTTTAATTATCTTATATGGTAAATTATATGCTTTTCAACCAAAAGACATCCTGTTTTAGTAGATAAAATCTTTGGAGTATTCGAAAATTCAATAAAATTACTTCTTTAAAGAATATCTTTATTTATATATAGAATAGAGATCACGACTGGGTAAAAGAAATTCTATTTAGTCCGTTAGTTAGATAATAGAAAATGTACAAAAGCGTGACGTCATTTCAACTCAATGTATCTCTGTAATTTATTGATTACACAAAAATTTTAAAAATACGTCTTTAATATTCTTAATTAATCTACCAGACGGACAAACAAAAAAAATTAATCATCGTCCCTATTGACAAACCTTTATATCGTTAACTCAAATATACTATAAGAACGAAATAACGTGACTTATGTCATTCTTATTGGTCCTTTGAGCAGTAGGGACAGGAAAAAATAAATTATTGAAAAGTATTTTTTATTTATATGTGTATAAATACCTCAGGATGTTCAATATATTCTTCAATCTGATTAACAGCTTCCTTGAAGGCAGCAGTTTTGCAAGACTTGATCAGCTGCTCCTTATACTCCTGGTATGGTTTGATGTTATTATCCTCAATCCATGCACTGTTGATATAATAAACATGTTATTGGAAGTACAACTAGCCATACTACATGGTTTTATGATAACTCAAGTGTTATAAAGATGTCAAGATTATTTGATTTTATAACACCATCTGTTGTAAATATTGAGTAGTCCACCGTTTTGAATTAAGAAATGAGATAAGTTTATATATGGTAATCTTCTCAGCCAACCCTGAATGGATGGTTTGATACCCAAATTTTTTTATAGTTTTCGGGATTGACGATGATTAGAATCTGTATAGGCAGACTTGATGCGCGTAGAATATGATATATATCCCCCCCCCCCTCCCCAAGGTTAGAATTCGTCGAACTGCTAAACCACTCCCACGGGTTCGACAGAGTATGGACTTGGTATGTATTCATTTTATTATATTACAATTTTTCGTAGCCGATCATATCATTTCATACTCATATCACGCCCTACATGTTCTTGGCCCGTTCGCCGTATTAGATTTAAAATGATATAACCCCACCAACCACATATTATCATCTAAATAAAATGCAAAAAATCAGTGTATCAGTTGAGGATGGCTGCTTTAAAATCCAATTCGAAAACTTGACTAGCAAATATACAGTGTATGTTAGTCAAATCAATATTAAACATACTTGTGATGTAACGAATATTCGCACTCACATTCGCGCATATTTTCATTACACACATACATAATTTTAAAATGTAACGAATATTCACGTTCGCGCATATTTTCAATGTTTGTATTCGCATTGGCAAAGTTTGTCTTAATGTTTTGCAAATATTAATAACAAAAAATATATATATTTTAAGATACATATTTATTAGGTTAATAAAATAAGAAATCTATCAATTTCATTATTAGAAAAGGTAACAATCTCAGAATAAGATTATCAGCCTTCACTATCTCATACGGTTATTATTTACTGCTGATTTAGTTAATTAACTGCTGAGTTTAAGATTAGAAATAAGAACTTAGAAAACAATGAATAGTGCTATGTAAAGAAACGGCCACAAATTCTTCTCCAATACCTATATCAGTAATTTTTATAGTTACATATCATCTCCTTAGACGAAACAAAAATCATAAATATTTGGCACCATATAAAAACACCATACAAATGTAAACAGAATATTCGCATTCGCGAACGCGAAGTAGATATTCGCAATCGCTAATGCATAATAAGTTAAAGACACTTATAAAAATAAACACCTCTAGTACACTGAAACATTCGAAAGCGAAACAAAAGTGTCATTTGTATGGCAGCGTCTCGCATGTGCTTTTTCTCGCTCTATTATTAACACGATCAAATAGCTGTGTCCTTGTCGGTACTGTTTCGCAGGCAACTACGTAAACCGTAGTTACACAGACGCATGTGATTCGCAAGTAAGTTACGAAATCACGCGTCACAGATTTTCGCAACGGAGGCCAAATTAAGGAGTGTTTTTTTTTGTTTTATTACAAAATTATTTCGAATTATGTGCAGACGAGTTCGATGGGTAGCTCGGCGGCTTAGTGGATAAGCGCCTCGGCCTGGGATCGTTATTAATAAGCAACTTTCGCAGGGGTTGGTCCCAGGATGGGTGACGAAAAACACATTGGCACTTTAATCCTCGGCTGCATTTGCAGTCGTTAGTACCCTCCATCCACCTTCAATCCGCATTGAGCCAATGTAGTGGATTATGGCCTATCCTCCTTAACCATCTGAATGGAAGACTTAAGCCCCTGCAGCGGGGACGTGAATAGGACGATGCTGATTTTGAGTACCAACAAACTCGTGAGTTCGTTTTACAAAGTGGAAGTAAAGCAACTATCACAAGGGCACGGTCATAGGATGGGTAACAAAAAATCTTTTATCTCGAGCTCCTCCATGATCCGGAAGGTAGGTTAAGCCATGGGTCTCGGCTGAATTTGCAATCATTAACGCCCAGCAATCAACCCAGGGCTCACGTGGTCAGTCATGAATGAACCATTCTCTCTATTGAATTAAATTCTATTCCATTCATAGGGAAATATTGTGCCTCAGCCTCAGCGCAGCCTTAACGGCTGATGATAATAATAATATTAACATTTTAAACACATTGATTTATTTTCGGTATTGATAGTACGAGTATAATTACACAATTTGCTTATAATGTGATTTGCATTACATTAGTATCAAATTACCAGTAACGTGATGCTACTTACGAAAATATATACAACTTTACTTAATGAGGTAATTTATTATTTGACTAATTATCAAGTTTTTATAACAGAAATATGCGTAAGCATTATGCTATTTGTGAGCGTGGAATATTGAAAATGATAGCTCTTTTATATTGTATGAAATTATCATTGAAGTTAAACTATCAATACTGCATTTTCAGTTTTCGTTTCGACAAATAGCCGCTTGGATTTTAGTTAAAAACCTTTATAACTTAGCGGACATAACGAAGCATTAAATTCATGACTTAAATAATTGTCGTTAAAAATTATCGGATATTATTTAAAAGATTGAATATAAACGCAAATTCAAGATTTCAAATATACTTATTACAGTATACTGAAATACTAAGATGGTGAAAGACTGATGGCAAACTCAAATATCAAAAATGGCGAATTAAGAATATAAATTAAGAGTAGGCGCTTATTCAGAACGATTAGTACAAATGTATTAAGCGAGCCCATCCATTGAACTCAAACCTGTATAATTTCGGGTACTTCAAGATAATCTCAGACAGGTATAGTCATTCGCTTAATATTTTTTTCGCCCACTCACTATTTTTTCGCCTAATTTAGTATTTAGTAAGTACTAATTACTGACACTTGAAATTTTAGTTAATTTAAATAAAACCGTGTTCTTCTATTAGTAACCAATTGCAAACATTTTTAGTCATTTATAATTATCGATAGTTTAGTAAACTGGCCAACATAGTTTAATGCCGCTCATCATCATCTCTACTAGTCACCACAATCACTACTTTTTTACTTTTCGCCTGGTTAATAATTCCTCAATATGTGCCTTTATAAAGGCTTAGTGAGCAGGATTTTATAGGTGCTCATCGCGAATATTCCTTTGCCAAAAATGCCCTAGGTCAAAATGTAGGATAAACAATTCGTTTTTGTAACGTTACGTTCACCAGAGTTACGCGGGTGTAAAATGTTTTTTGGCTTACATTGTTCACTAGATATTGACTCTCCACGTACTGTCTGCAATTCTAACAGTAACGAACAAGAAAATTGCGACGTCAGGTTTAAAAATTGCGGTGTGCACAGGCCCTAAAGTCCGAATAAGATATTTATTATTCGGCCCATTTTACGAACATATTAAATAAGTTATTATCTAACAAATAATATAGACGTAGAAGGATCTGGTATATACTGGTGCGACACTAAACGAGTAATGTAAAGGTGCTAAAAAGTGACTTTATTAATCTTCTCTATAAAAAAAAGTAGAATTAGTTAAATATAAAATAGGAAAAGCTTTGTATTTTTTCAATCGAAATCATAATAAATTCACGTTTGAAAAATCTTTATAAATATGATGTACCACAAGTAGTCTCATTATTAATTACAATAGCTTTCCGCTAGCGGCTACGCCCGCGTGGTCTTGTATTATACATAAAAACCTACATTTTGAATCACCCTATCTATTAAAAAAAACCGCATCAAAATCCGTTGCGTAGTTTCAAAGATTTAAGCATACATAGGAAGAAAAAGAACAATTTAACGTTTTTTTTTTTATGTAAACGCCAGTTTAATATAAAATATATTTTAAGAAAAACATAATCTAATCTAAAACTAATTAAATTAAATTAAAATACTTTAAAGAAAATACGATCAGACCAAAAGTAACGAAGCTAGTGATTATAGTACAACTACCTAAAAAACCTAATATAACAAGCACACGGAATCGGGTGACGTCATTTCTTATTTCGTTCAATAACCTCCCATATTCAATAGGTATACCTTTTTGCAGTATACTTAAAAACACAATTTTTATTCCCCTGTAATAGAATTAAATATTTTTACAGATAAAAACTTTACGTTACTAAGAAGCAGTACGTGGTAGGTACTCGTACCTACCACGTACTGCTTCTTAGTATTGAGTACCATTAAGTATTGCAGATTATTATTTGAATAATAAAAAATTAATACCAATATTAGGGAATGTATTCAAATGTTGATGGTTCACGAAAATATTGTTTTGTTTGGCATATGATCGGTTAAAGTAAAATGGTAAGTAATAAAAGAAATGTCTAAAGGATTCAATGGCCATAAAAGTTTAAGTACCGCTGCTATTGAGAAAACAATAATTACCCTTTTAGAGTTCCACAAGGAACACACCTTGGCCCTATTATTATTATTTGGGTTTAAAGGGCTATTCAGTTCCTAATGGAACTGCAGTCACTGCGACCTATAAGATATTTCGTGACTGGTAGCTTCTAAGAAGTCTGTGATATACTTGACTTTCAGTGCTTTAATATCATCTGGGCTGGTTATGTGCCGTCCTAGATGGATGCTTCGTTTGTGAATCAACGGTCCAGATTTACATAGGAGGTGTTCTAGTGTTTCACACTCCTGTTTAAAGTCAGTCAGCAAATGTCAGTGGCACTTAATTTCACGTGAAATTAGTGTCTGTTTAGTTTTCAGTGCCCAGTTAAGGCTCGTACAATTGCTCGGTTGTTAAGTCTGCTTCAAAAGCTCTGCAGTTAATTTTTGCGATTATCCTTCAATAAGAGACTTAGCGAGATTGAATCCCGTTTGATTCTGTCAGTATTTTTTTAAATCACGTTGAAGGTCGTCCTTTAGGATTTGCATCGCATGGTTTTTTGGTATTCCGCAGGGTTCAAAGGCCCATTTGTAGGCCCTGTGATGCAGTTCTTGCGAATTCACCTGCGATTTCATTTCCTTTGATGCTGGAGTGACTTGGCACCCATTTGAGAATAATTTTATTCCTTTGCCCTAGTTCATTAAATTTGTCAATACAGCCCTTTACCAGTTTTGAACTTACTGTGTTCTGCTTGGCTGTTAGAAAAGTCAACTTAACCCTATCTTTTCTAATGTATTTCTCTCGGCATAGAAAGTATGTAAGAAAAAGTAAGAATCGTTAACCCCACTCCCCCTCCCTATAAGATTCGGTTCATAACATAATCACTCCATCTGCGGCTCTACTGGTAAGAAGGCCCGTTGGACACCAACTCTGACGCTTTGACAGGGCAGGGGAGGCAGATGCTTGATGTTGATCTCTTTAACCCAGATGGGCTAAATCAGGAGATTACGAAAGCCCTTGTTCTGCTACAGCCAGATCGGAAGGTTTACGCAATGACTGATCATTGCACGCCCTCATACTGTCTGGGCAGGTAAGACACGAATATCCCGGAGCCTTATCGCAAACCCGCACCCGCACAGTTAAAGGGAAAGAAATATGCGCGAAAGGAGCCCTTGGGATGATACCGTGGATCGCCTTTTATGGTGGGACATCTGAAGGGTTTTACTGGGTATGTCCTTATCTTCTAACTTCCCACCACCAGAGAGTCCCACACATATAGAAAAACATAAAGGTTAGTTTAACTACTGAACAAGGATGTTCCAACATACTCATAGATTCTTGCCAACAGCTTTAATGTTTTAAACATAGCATGAACACTAAATAATATCACCGCTCAATGAATAAAAGGACAAGTAATGCAGTTGGTAAACTTATATACATTTAAGAAATCACAATCTGCAGAGGTTGAAGCGTAATACCAACAGGCTCAGAGCTAATCATCCACATCCCAATAGCTTGGTGAGTTTATAACATATATGCTTGAGTTTATAAGAAACTTTATCTGCTTTAAATATTATAAAGAGCTCTGGCCCGAAGGTGCAGTTTATGAGAGGACAGTTCAAGTCACTCTTGTTTATTCTCTTTGTTATAGGGTTTTTTAGCATTTCCCTTCATTTTCAGGTCACATTATACAAAATTTCGTTTTACTTAAATTTTAAGTTTTAGGATTTTATAGTTAATTTAAGAAGTGGCAAAGCTCATTTACTGTTTGGGAATATTTGTAAACTTGTCTTTGTCGACTTGTATGATGACTGGCTGATTTATTTGCTTCAAAGTGTAAACATTTAAGGCAAGCTTCATTTTTGTATGGAACTAAAAATATACTCAGAGAAGATTGTCGCAAATTACAAAAATATTAATATTCACATTCGCAAAGTTGGCAGTAGATATCTGTATTCATATTCGCATTGGCATGATGAATGTTATTTTGACATTTGTTAAATCACTTAAAAGATGAGATTTTTATATCTGTATACTCACATAGAGAAGTGGATTGTCTAAGTCTCTCACTATGGCTCTAGCCATTGCTATAAAATCTTATTGTTCTTTTTTTTATTCACATATTAAGTCAACGGTTTGCTGTAGCTTACTGATATATTTAAGTTGTACTAAATTTGAAAAAAGAAATAGAATTTAGTCAAAGTTATTTTTGAAAATAAACCAAAATATTTAATTAAATATATGAATAGTAAAAAAGATACAATTATATAAAAATATGATAAAACATAAACCATTTTTATAACCACAGCTAGAGTTATTGCAAGAGAGTTAAGCAGTCTAACTGCCGATTTAAAAAAAAAACTTTTTAGGGACAGGTGCCAAACATGGAAATATTCAAACCACAATTAAAAAAAACTAAAACAATGTCAACAAGGTATTGAAAAGTATACCCTAGGTGTTAAATTTAAACTTAGAAATAAAGTTAAATTTTTGGAATGTAAATAATAGGACAGTAATGCTAAATGTAATCTAAAATGTAAAAAGTAAAGACACAAAAATGTAACAGAAAAAAAGAATACATAATGATGCCCAAACAACGAACAATTTTAAAGCGGTAGACAAACAAAAAGATAGAATGGAATGATGGCTTAGGAATGGGCTAAATCAAAGGAGGCCTTTATCAAAGGATAACCTGACAGTGTAGTTGCCAATGTCCATAGATAATTCAAAACAAAATTTTGTATACAGTCACAAAATAAGGGTTGGTACAAATCTGATGATGATCAATAAAGGGTCACTTGCAAGTATTTATAAGGTCTATTGTCTAGATTGATGGTCAGACTACAAATTTAAGAAACCATATTCTACATAATAATAGATTATGAACTTTATGTGTGTACAATTTTAACTAAAGTCATTAAGCTGTTTTCTGTGAAAAACTAAAAATCATATACATGAAACTTGCAGACTATAAATATTAGTTAAAATAAACTCATTGTATAGATACTTACTAATTATTGGTCCCAAAGAAGTAAATGCACTGAACATTGGTAGCCTTCTTGGGAGGTTTCAACTCAGGAGTGGGGATGGCTACCTGAAACACCCAAAAACACCACTATATTAGGTTATTTGCAGACATCACTCAATTATTTACAAAATACATCATCTTACATTTACTGATTCCAAATTTCATCACATCAAGAAGTCATAAGCATTATAAAGTGAGCATTATTTAGAATAGAATAGAATGCCAAGAGACTTGAAAGATTTCCCGCCCATTGCAAGTAATATGTTTTCTATCAACAATTAATATCATTGAATTGGAATTAATATTATTTGAAAAATACTAAAAATATATTTATTTACGGGTTTTTTTTTATTACTATTAATTTATTTTCTTATGAGATCAAAAATGTGTATAAAGCGACTTACCCGGCCAGGCCATGGGCTGAAACCCTTCATTTTGGCCCTGAAACAAAATATTTATTTCTGTTTAGTTCAATGTAGATTAAAACACACTATATAGGTCACATGAAGTCAAATTTCTATTACATACCACACAAGATCACCAAGTTTATAAGATTCAGACATGATACACGTCTAACCCAAACGAATTTCCACGACGAATTGACGAGACAGAAGCATCACAAAACAAAGAGTAAGGATAGAGGAAGCGTCCTAAATTGTCTATGATACATCTTTCTAAAAGCCTTGTTATGGCAACACTTACTGAAAAAAATCAAAACTAAAGGCGGAGACACATTTTTAGGCTACTTATAAAAGATTTTTGTGATTTTGAAAATTTCACTCCAAAGTGAAAGAAATAGGGTTTCTAAGTTGATATTTTTTATATTAGGGACGTGAAAGTTTAATTTAAAGCATCTGATTTATTTTTTCTTTATCAAATGATATTGCCATAATACATGTTTAAATTAGTTAAATACTTGTGCCATAGTAGGTCTAGGAATTTTTCATCATAATATTTAACAAAAGTTCTGAAAACAATAACAGCTAGGTAAGTTAGTTTTGTTGCTATTAGTCGTTTGTTGAACTTATAGCAACAAAACTACATCACGTTACACGTGCAAATAAGTTTTCTTTTCGGAATTAAGAATTTAAAAAAATATACGATCAATTTTTATATCTTATATCAATAATGAAATCATCCTAATAATAATTCAGCAATTAACAAGAAACATCCGTTCGAAAAGAACAGCAAGGTTTAAACTTTAAATTTCAAAATCACAAAGACAGGTACAGTTATTATATACAAGTACTATCGCTACTGAACTTGCATGTCCATGGCGGACATCAAGCCAGGTGTAATGTTAATTAGTACGGTGGGTATGTGCTTTTTTTGGTTCTTACAATAATATTGTCAACAAAAGATTTACTTTCTACTCGACCTACTCTAGAAATCAGTCTTATTGAAATATATTGCAAACATGCTCTCTTAAAAATCTCTGCACTTGTATCGTGTGCGTCGAGTTGTTAAGTTCCCTCAAATATAGATAAGCGAAGCGGTGGCTGACTCATTTGTCAAGCTCGTCAATGGGTGCCAGTGGGGGTGAGACAACACTACTTAATTTTGTCCATTTTTTTATTATGAATATTGTATATTGATTTGTCAATGAGTATGTAGGATTTCTGATATTATAATGAAAAGGGACTTCATAGTCTTATTAAGTCACATTCCAATAAGACTTCTCTGTGTGAAATAAAACAGGAAAAAAGCAGTACTTGCTGAGTTTCTTAACGGTTCTTCTCAGTATTAGATCTCCCGCCTTTTTTTGCGAGCCATTGACAAAGTTTTCGACTTTCACTCGTACTATGTAACAGCCTAGACTGAATTGATTTTGATATTTATATTAATATCATTCGTTGAGTGGATGCATAATGACACATACAAATACAAGCTGAATTCTGTGCTCCGCTTTTTGTTGTTCATTCCAAACCTGAATTCGGATGAATGTTACGAGCAACCAATAACTTAACTAGCTAAAGGTATTGTGGCGACTGATACAAAGCGACATCTAACTCATCGCAATAACATCGCCACAACAATCGATAGCGAGAAGACTAGCATCGTCACAGCCATCGATAGCAAGACGAACTACAAAAAGTTTCAACAGCAAGTAACGAGATGGCGCTGTACCGATACAAACATCATGAATTAATAATGAAAGAAATAGAACGCCCAACCTACATCGTTTGGACCGCGGTTCCCGGGCTAACTACACCTAGCTCGGAGGGAGACAATTATCCGTTAGTGTCCCTTGCCAGTTGTCTCCATCTTCACTGTAGGACCAACCATTCAATCTTACGGTTCCCAAAGTATAAATAAACCAAACATTGTTCCTTTACACGAAACATAATAAGCCACTTAAACTTACGATTAAAATAAGAAACACAAAACGATGTCATATTTATTATTTTTTGATACTCTATTTACTTTTATTACGTCAGAAACAACATTTGAATGAATATCATAAACAAAATTCAAACATCGTGAGTGACATCTAGTATGATTTGAAGAACTAATTTTTATTTTTTAAATACTTCCTCATTTTAGCAGTTCATAGTACAAAATTGGTATAATTTAATTTACAACGGTTAGTGCTCGCGGATGACATTACCGAAGTTATCAATGACACTACTAGTGAAATAAGTGTTCCCCGCCGCATAATAGACTTCTCAGCAAATCCAGATTATTTTTTTCCATTGTTTAAATAAATTTGTAATACTATAGAAAATATATAAATATGTAGGTATATAGCTATTCTACAAATCGATGCCTTACTTTCTCAAACTCGTATCTTAAAACAGACTAGTGTTCAGGAAACAATAAAAAACGTTTATTTTGTAAAATATCAGAATATTGGTTAAAAGTTTAATGCAGTAAGTTAGAAATATACCTGTGCTATGTGTGTGGATAGCATAAAGCAATTAAAATTATTTACTCTAAGGTTTTGGCACGATTTTTGAGATACGAGTTTGCTGCACTCACAGTTACCTTTATATTGGTAACTCGACATAAAAGATAAAAGTTTGTTGCATTTATCTGAATTTAAAGTAATAAGTAAAAGTAATTTAAATGATTGAATAAAACAATAATAAGAACATATTATCAAATTTTTATTTATAAAAAAATTATTGGTAGTACGACACTAAACTAATCGTGTGGCAAATTGTCGTAAAAATCATGATAATCAGCTGGGATCATCAGTTTCAGGTCTTGTAGATCGTCATATTTTCTTTTAGTAATAGTTAATCGCTCATTGTAGAGGCTTGGTATTGTTGTCATATCATCATTAGTCTGCAACTGTTGCCGCAATTTACGTTGAGGCAATTTTTGCCACTCTTCGTCAAAACTTAATTTGTACTGTACTTCATTTTCAACTGTGTATTTCAGAGCTCGTATATTCACGACGCATGGGTCGCCTTTTTTAGTGCCTGGCCTTATTGATTTTAAATAATTTATTGATGAAAAATCTTTAAAGAAGCTGTAATTTAAATAATTAACTTGGTACGGTTGTGACAGTCTGGATTGCTTAATTACTGTATTAAAATCAGCTGGCACATACAGCTCTTTTCCTTTCTTTTTGCGTTCGATGGAGGCATGGACGGAATCGCATTCCATTTGTGTGTGTCCTACAACTAGGTACTTTTGTTGTATCTCAGCATGATGGACCTTTGCATAATACAACAATGCATTTGACAGAGTAGTGTTTCTGTTTTGGGCACAGCACCCGTCGCTATAAATGACTATTGGCCGTGATTTGTCCTCTAGTTTTTGCAAATAGTCTATCAAACAAGAAGTAAAGATGTTAGAGTCCATGCCTCCTTCAGCTTCATGCCAGACATAGCATGAAACATTTTTGTCACTTTCATTGTAGATGGTAAATTGGTGTACACACAGTTTGGTTTTAAAATAATTGGAACCCGCTGAAAGCAGAGGGATGGTTTGCACTGCTTGCAAGTCTACAGTGAACATCTGAATATCACCGTTTTTACATCGTTCTTTATCGCTTGCTTTTTCTTTTCGTGCTTGCTCTTTACTTTTTATATGTAGCTGATATTCATCTTCTGGGACGTTTTTGTTTTTGTAAGCAAAACAAACGTCGCATTGATCTTTTTTTGGTCTGTAGATACTTATATTAGTCTTGTGAACTGCATCTAAAAAGCATTTGTACGTCGCCTTTTCGCTATTATCGATATCATGTTCTGTTAAATATTTTTTGAAATCTGTGTATACTTCTGCCCATGTCCTATATTGAACGTCAATATATTGTTTGTTGGTGCTCTGTCGGCAATAATGTGACGGCATTTTTGGTAGGTTGTCGAGAAAAGACTTTACATGATTAACTTTAGCAATATTTTTTTTGTTTTGACGTTTAACTGGGTTATTTTTTTTCACCATCCCTATGTCGCTTGTATGTGGATTTTTAGTTACCCAGTTGGACACGCTCCATTCGCCTAGAGATAATGTATTCAAAAACATTTTTTTACAAACAACTTTGGTATCCCCAGAAATTTTCAAATTATAAGTTAAAGTGTTTGTCCGTCGAGAAATAGTACCAGTTGTTTGTAAAGCAACTGGCTTATGCGATACCATAGCAACAACATACGCTTTTTTTTCGTCCCATGAAAGTGACCAAAATGTTTTAAAAATTTCCTTTCTGTCTTCTTCTGATACTTGGTTGCATTGCTTACCAAATTTTTTCGAGCATGTTTCTGAACAGCAACGAGATTTTAAAGTTCTTTCCTTTCGTCTTTCCATGACACCAGTCACTTCTTTGCTTCTTTTGATCGATGAATATTCTTTACCTTGCATTCTCTTACGTTTTCTTTGATTCCTAGTCCAGTTCAAAGCATTTCCCTGACCTTTTCGTGATTTCTTCTTTGTGATTATTCCAGATGATTCGTCCAATAATAAATATGAAGGTCCACTGTCAGATAAACTTGATTCAGAAGAAAGATCCTCAGATTCACTTGGTGAATAGTCGGATCCTGAGGTAAAGTTTAAGTCATCAAAGCTTGCTGAAACAAATTGACCCGTTCTTTCATCCAAAACGGCGTTTACTGGTATTGTAGTATTGGTTTCTTGATACTGGTCCGTAAAAACAAAACGCCCGGAATTAGGATCCAGGACTACTCGTTTCTCTTCAAGAATTTTTATGGCAGAAGGTTTTTCAGAACTTGTAGTAATGGTCAGATCATGACAAGGCTCAATAGTGAATGGATCACTACTGTTTACTGTCATCTCATCACGATTGACTCCTTCAATACAGTTGTCCATAGGTGTGTCATTCGTGAGGGCTAAATTCAGTAATGTTCTACTACGGGAGCTCGCCATTATTTTCTGCAATGAAAAGAAATGGCTAGAGCATTGGCTAGATATTTCTTTAACTAATTTAGCTGGCCAGCAGGCTTATCACCTAATATACAAAATTAAAAAGGAGTCATGCAAGTAAAGTTGTCGGTCACGGATGCTAATACAACCTTTACTACCAGTTATTCAGTATCCACCAATCCGGACTAGGCCATCGTGGCAATGGGAAGAGACCCTGCCTAGTAGTGAGAGTTCAACATGGTTTGTAGTGTTACCTACTTCAGCAGTGTAGCTCTACAAGCGACTAAAAAACCCACTGTAATAAACGGACAGACAGACAGACGGATGAATTTCCTGGGCTTATTTATATTCCTATTAAAACTGTGATAAGAAGCCTTAAAAGTTATATCGACGGCACATGAAAACATTCAAACATTACTTACCGGCAAAAATCACACTGCTACTCACAATTTCTTACTATAAATAATTATTCTAAGCTCACTACTAGATAATTATGTATGTATTTAAAATAGTGATATGATAAATTAATTCAACAGAAACATATTTTTTCATTACACAAATTTTTAAGTAACTGTAGCACACGATTATAACAACAGCAATGCAAGAAGCGAAATGACCTTCGTAGTTTAGCTATTCCCAAAATGGTTGAAATTATTTCTAGAAAGTTCTTCATAAAACAAAGCCACCCTTCTGTCAATATTGGACCTTAAGAACTGCGTTATCAATAGTATTGTTTCAAAAATCTAATCCTATCTCAAACTTTTCCCGCAATGCTATAAGTGCGGCAACATCGCATCTCAAGAAAGCGGTAAACAAAACTGGAGCTTCCTGCATGACGATTAGCTTCACAACCACGTATTTCAAGATACGAGTTTGACGCAGTTACTGAAATGGGTGTGAGAGAGATACCTATATTTTTGGTATTGCTTATTACACGTTTAGTACAGCGTATTGAGATAAGAGTTTGCTGCAGTTATGAATCAAAACGATAGCTTTAGATAGACAACAAAAAGCCAAAATCATATTTTTTTAAGATACGAGTTTGAGAAAGTAAGGCATCGAAATGTTAAATTTATAAAATGTGGCTGAAGGACTTGTATCCATGGCTATGAATATATAATTATTAAAAAAAACACAAATGCATAAAATTATGTCAAATCTACGTCATCGAGAATAATCGGGAATACGCATTGTGCATTATTCGTTTTTTACCGAATTCAAAGTATAATATCATTCGAAAATAAAGATAGTGAAAATACAACAAAACGCTGAGCCACTTCGGAAACAATGAATACTGTTGATACAGGCGAACTACTAAATTTCCAAGATTACTCTCCCGAGCACAATGAACGCAGTGCTAGGATCGATGTGGAAGCAGTACACACTAGTCAATACAACAATTCCATGTCGAATCCAAACTATGATTTTGAAGAACCCAAAGTTACGGAAGAACCTGCCACTAGCCCCCAATGTAAGGTTTTGATTATTGAGAGATTGCATTTGTTCTACTAGAATTCTTTAACATGAATATCAACTATAGATAGAATGATTATTTATATTTAAGTATTACTGGGTAACATATTTCTTATCGTTTTAGCTAACCACAACTTCTGGACTATCCAGTATTATCAGAAATACTTTGATGTACAAACAAATGAAGTAGTGGAGAGAATAATTTCTTCGGTCTTGCCCCAAAAGGTATCCAGAAATTACTTTGATGAGAGGATAAAAGGCAAACCTGACTTATATGGTCCAATATGGATTGCTGTTACCCTGGTATTTATTTTTAGTCTATATAGTTACATTTGTAAAAAATATCTTTTGATTCTTTACATATTTATTGGAAATTTGTAATTTTAAGATTAATTCAGAACAGCATTTATATTATTATGTAGAATGTAGTTTATATTGTTATATAAACATTATTAAAAAAATTTAATGCTTAAAAATATATTTTGTGTGTAGTTTTTATATCTTTAGCATTTTAGTAATATGAATTTGTCTCATTATAGTTATGATTTACTTAACAATTTAACAATTGATTTCCTCTTGTTAGATATTCACAATTGCTGTAAGCGGTAACATAGCAAGTTATCTTCAAAACACCAACAAGTCGGTAGAATGGCGATATGATTTCCATATTGTGTCCATCTCTGCAACAGCTATTGTATGTTACATATGGCTTGTCCCGCTAGCGTTATGGGCTGCACTCAAGTGGACAGTTCACCCAGATGGCCAAGATGAAATTGAAACCCAGGTAATAATTTATCCTGTATTATTAATTTTCAACATGATAAATCAAAGTTATTGCAAATAATTACTTTATTTATTTACTAACAGGCTTTTCCTATTTTTCCTATTTATTATTATTATTTTGATCACTTGAGGTTGGCAATAACTTAATAAATAAAATCTTTGTTTCAGGCATCAAAATCACCAACAATGATCTCCCTGTTTTGTTTATATGGTTATTCACTGTCTATCTATATACCAGTTGCGATATTCTGGACTATCCAAATATTCTGGTTGCAGTGGCTATTTGTCATGATGGCTGGCTTTGTATCAGGAGCGGTGCTCGTTTTCTGGTTATTGCCTGCTCTGAGAAAGTCTAGATATTTCATCATTTTGGTTGGCTGCATTCTAGGATGCCACTTTTTGTTGGCAGCTGGATTCATGTTGTATTTTTTTCATACACCGCAAAGCTCCATTAAACATTTTGATGTTATATCGTCTACTCTTAAACCGGTGTGAACTATATTGTTCTAGTTGTAGTTTATATTATTATAAGCATTTAATTGATAAATTAATCCATATATTTATAATCGTATAAGTTGCTGTTTTGTGATAAAAAGATTATATCATTCAACTTTATAGTAAACAATTGTTTATTAGAATTTAGAACTGTGTTACTTCCTTACATTCCTTGACAAAACATGATGAGAAATTTCTGTTGTTATGATTCTTGAAAATAAAAGTTCTCACAATTATCACATTGTTTATTTTCAATATAAGTGCACTTCATGGTACATGAGATAATGTTTTCTAAATAAACTATATAACAATATTTATAAAAATAAATATTAAAGTGTTTCTAATTAACATTATACATTACTAAGAGTCAATCTAGCAATGAGAAACACTTAAAACTGTTTAGCCATGGCTGCTTTTGGAATGACACTGATGTTTCTTCCAGAGAAGCTTGGAATGTACTGGTCAGTTCTGATAACATATTTCCTGTAATTAAAAATAAATACAACTGTTACCAATATTTTGTACTAACTGTTTTTCTGCGACTTCAGCTCTGTAAACTATTACCTATGTATATCATTGCGTATGATGTAGCTTCTGTAAAAGTAAGGATTCTCATGAGAGGCAGTTTGTAAATCTTCAGAAATAGTGATCCAACTATTTCTGAAGATTTACAAACTGCCTCTTTATAATATTTAGACAATATTTACTAATTATTAAAGATCTACTTAAATTGCCACCACACTAGATTCATTGCGGAATAGGATAAGGCAGAGAGAACCAAGTGCCACAACTGTACATTCGTATTATTATTCTCTATGCAAAATTCTCGAATTTCGTGATAACAAAATAGTAATAAAGTGACTGTTATAGTAAAATTTAAATATAATCGGGATGCCTCATGGGACACTTTTAGGACCACTGTTTTTCATACCTTCATAGAAAGATCATTTGTCGCGTGTGCCAGGTCGAATGTAATATGATAAACTAGTGGACGCCCGCGACTTCGTCCGCGTGGAAGTCGGTATCCCGTGGGAGTGAGAAGTTTTCCCAGTAAAAAGTACCCTATGTGTTATTCTGATGTATAACCTATATTGCTGTAAAGTTTTATCCAAATCCGTCCAGTAGTTTTTTCGTGAAAGAGTAACAAACATCCATACATCCATACTTACAAACTTTCGCCTTTATAATATTAATAGGATTATTCACTATTGACAACGGATTACGCGACACATGTTACGTCAGATATGCACCGATAAACTATATTGGTTTGACATATGAATACAATAAAAAAATGCCTACCGTATATTTCGTTATGATCAAATTCCTTGAGAATCTCGCAAAAATCTATAAGGTGGCCCTCATTGTGAGCTAATTGGGATGAAAATTCTACATCTCGAAGACTAGTTTGATAAAGTATTCGTATACCGCTTCGGCATACTGCAAGTAGTCTATGATTTGTGCTCGCGTTTTCTGTAACAGAAATATAACGACATCCAACATATATTTAATGTTATTTAAAACGTTTTTTATGCTGCTAACTTAAGTATATACCTGTTTTGTCCTTTAAATTCTTCAACATGACCGCACATATTCGTAAAGAAAATACAATGACCTGCATCAACATCAACTGACAGTCACACCTGAAGATGAGAAATAAAAAATATAATTATACTTCACACACAGGAGATTTTACAGAGTAATGTCTCAAAATTACCTACCTACCTTAGTACCTATACATATATAGTTTTAAAGACTTTAAACTTACTACCTATACATATATATAGTTTTAAAGACTTTAAAAGTCTATATATGTATAGGTACTAGACGGTCTTTTGGGCAGTGGCAGGCTGAGGGGGGCCCCTTGTCTCCAAATGGCTGTAAATTCGCCTGTTCAAATCATAACTTGAGGTTGGAGGCCCCGTAGACAAATAAGTACAGCCTGTAGCGATAGTAAAATTACTGTTACTGCCTCAAATAGGCAACAAGTTTATGCACCGATTGGAAAAATTCAGACCGGATCAGAGACGAAATTTTTTTAAACGCGAAAGTAAACCTTCCCATTCTCACAGCCTTACTCATGCCGGGTGCCCATTAATTGTTCCTTGGATAGCGACCAACAGGAATCTTTCGAAGATATAAAGTTAGCTTTAACCTCTGAGCCAGTTCTTGGTATTTATAACCCTAATTATGATATGGAACTTCATATAGACGCATCAAGTCATGGCATAGGCGGAGTTCTTTTTCAAAAACAACCACTAGGTGATTTAAAACCCATAACTTATTTTAGTAATCAAACTAATACGACAGAGCAAAAATATCACTCGTATGAATTAGAAGCAATGGCCGTAGTAAAGAAAGTTACACGTATTCATTTGGTCGACCCTTTTTAGTAGTTTTTGATTGTCAAGCTTTGAGTACCACATGGTCCAAGAAATATATATTTACAAAAATTGCCAATTGGCGGCTAGAAATGCAAAGTTTTGATTTTACTGTTCAGTATCGACCCGGTTCTCAAATGCAACACGTAGATGCTCTTAGCCGTAATGCCCTCCCTTTATACCTGAAGGAAATTGGGTTTTTGCAGTGCAAATGATGATCAAAGGTTACAAAATATAATTAATAATATGACTAATGTAGAATATAAAAATTTGTATAAAATAGATGAAAACATTTTGTGTACATAACAAAACATTTTGTATACGTAATACTTTGTGTAATTTCGTTTTTATACTCACTTTGCGTTCTGATTGAAGCCGTTGCTATTGTCACTGATATTGCTGTATACAGCAATAAGATTACTACTAGTCTCCAATGCTTCATCTGTCAAATTCTGGGATTCTATACATTTTAATGATACCTCAATTTGTTTAATGAGTATTTGAAAGTAACAAGAATCTGGAACAAACAGAATTTATATATAAATATTTTCTTTTTCGATGACGTATCATCCTAATAATGTTACAGAAGCACTACAAGCCTTCTCTGTACATAGTGGGTGTAGTACATAGTAGTAGGGGGATACATAGTACGTAGTAGAAGGGGGAGTAGCCCTAAACCACCACGCAGACCCAGTGCGGATTAGTGGAAGTAAATACTGTAGATATAGCCGGATACAACGGCTTATCGTGCCATCCGAAGCACGGAGAATCTCAAGAGAATAAATTAATTGATCACCCATCCGATTAAAGACATCTGTTAAAAGCTATTTAAAAAATTCTTTCACCAACGGTAATCTAGATCATACATTCATGTATATATACACGGCTACAATTTACATCGACGAAGTCGCAAGAGAACTGCTAGTTAATTATTTTTTTCGACTAGAACTCTTTACTTACCTTTCTTGTACAACAAGACCCCTTGGTCGTAGTCCACTTTGAGATTACACGAGTTGTTTTTCGGACAAAATGTAAACATAAAGTCTTCGGATACTGACAATTTTCTTATTAGAACTAACATATTACATGATACAAATGACATTGGTCGTGAGCCCAATATTACTTTGATGACATCCACAATTTTGGTTTTGTGTTCTGGTATATTTTGAAGAAAGTCAGATAGAAGAAACGTCAAGGCCAGGAGAAAACCGCTGTGTATTACTGCACAAGACTGCAAGAAAAAAATTAATGATGAGAATATCTGTGATGGGACTTAAATAATGGTACTCTAAACTGAAGTATATTCTCTATATCATGTATGTGTAAGACTTAAGATTGCCTCTCTTAAGTGTACTCTAAAATAGTGTTGTACTCTATATCATGTAAGCCTACTCTAAAATCTAAAAAACTAATAGAGGACACCAAATTGCTCTTTTTTGCACTATATTTATGCTGCTTTCACTGCATCATATATGATGCAAAATTGCATATCTATTGTTGTAACCAAAAGAAGTACCAAACAAATACAAAAAAAAAACCTTTTTATAAGGCCATACTCTAAATCAGATTATAATCTAATTTTTCTAATAAAAGTAGGCAACCTAATTACAACTAATATTACACATTGAATCCATACTATTATACATAAAATATTGAGAGAGACAGTGTTAATTCATATGTATAGTACAAGAACTTGTGACAAAAATGTGAAAGAGCTTTGCGACTAAATAAAAATAAACAAATTAATCTGTGAAATGAAGAAATAGTTTCGTAATCAATAACTTATACATTCACAAGACACAAAAACTTTCGGTAAATAAAAATGGTACATGGTAGGTAAGAATAAATTGCGACTGTGAGAAACTGACGAGCTTTTAGGTAATGGATTATGTATGATATTATTAAGATTTGATTGATGCAACATGTAAACAAATGTTCCATTACTCATAAGAACTTTTACATGCCTACTGAAAATAAAAGATAGGTGCACTTACAGAGCTATCGAGTAAACTGCATATCCTATTGATATTATCAACAAATGATACTCGACTGCTGCTTCTGGACTGTTCTTCGAACATTTTGTACAAGTTGACACTTTCAGGAGTTTCTAGAACATATGAGGTTAACGCAACCATTCTTCTTGCGAAAATTGCTTGTTCATCTTTGTATAATGCACTGAGAACAAAGTATCTCGATTAAATTCTACGCAGATACATCATAATAATGCACAGACATATCCTATCCTTTTGATAGAAGGAGTCAGACTTTAAAAAAAGAAACAGATTTAATCCCAGTTTGGGGGTCAGGGACTTACAATAATGTAATTGCTAATTTATAATCAACAACATATGAATAAACTGCGTATGCATAAAAACATGTTCTGTTTTAGTTTGTATAAAAATTTGTATTATCTATATAGCCGATGATGAATATGTATATTTATGTTCTCACTGCGGCATAGTCTGGAATCGAAATTGTATATAACCCCATTAGCCCAACAGATTGGTGGGTGTTAACAACTGCAGATGCAGCTTGAACCAACGGCTTCATGTGCCTTCCGTAACACAGAGGAGCTAACGATAAAAAATTTTTGGTCACCCATCCTGTGACTAGCTCTTACAAAAGTTGCTTACCTTCTTCATCGCACACCGAACACTCTTAAACGCCATGGAGATCGTTAGCCATATATAATGTGTCTTATACTTAAAATACTAAAAAGATATTGTTAATATCAAAATAAGATTAATATTCACCTGCTTTTCAGTAAGTCTTCCCTTTTAATAGAAAGAAATGTCGCTGTAGACTCTATATACTTTTCATCCATTTCTTTCTGAAAAGTATTTGTCACTCTCAGAGATATTGTGTCCAACTCGCATTGGACATCTTGTAGAACTAAGTCAATGGCACTGAACAACTAAAAAATGAAATATAAAAAAACCTTGTTAAAGGAATAAATCCTTTTATTACAAATCGAGGACTAATTATATTAGCAAGTTAGAACTATTAACTAATCAAAATAATCAATATGGCATTTTCTCTTCTATTATTATTAATTTCAATACTTACATTAAAATATTTTGCTTTTATACTTTCATAATCACCATTCTTAGCAGCAATAAAAGTCAAATCTTCATATATATGATTGAGATTTAATTTGCTCTTAAAAGTTAATTTGTTCGGTGTCGGTGTAGATGGTATTCTGTGAAATGTGCTGAATATTCTACAAGTATTTTGTGAGTACTCCGATTGCTTTTGTAATTTCTCATTGTATTCTAGTATTGAATGCTGCTGTTGTGTTTTGCTCTCCAATATTAACGGCAAGATACTTATTAATTTTGAATTCCCTGAGAAAAACAAATATTTCACATAAAACATTTTAATCGTAATTTAGATTGACTTCCAAGTTAACCTAAGTTCAAAAAAATGGTTTTGTGACATTCATATAAATTAAAGTATAAATATGTCTTCAACATGTATTGAAACATTGTTGTACTCTTAATTAAAAATTGTTTCAAAAGGCACTTCGTCCTTGATTTTTTTTTATTGTTATTGATCAATATAACAATGTTATACATCAAAACTATGCATCTTATTTACAGTACTTTTTTCAAGATTTATTCTTTATCTGACAATTTATAAAATATAAAAGGTCACTGTCCTTGAGAATAATAAAGATACTTTTTGTTTAGGTGAATTATTCCCTAGGTTTATATATTTCTAAAGACTAATGCAGAAAAATAATTTCATAAAGGGATTGTCATAAATTATTAATTTAATCATGTCACATACATATTTTTATTACCATTTCTACATATCTTGCTGAGTTTTATGAAGGCAGCTTTGTCATCAGTTTGTATTGCATTTGATGTCATTTTTATCTTACGCATTTGCGACATTGGTTCATTAGGGAATATTTTGTTGTTATTTCGATGACTGCAAAAAAATAATGTAATCATAAGAAAAATATACTGGTGTATCCCACAATGGGCTTTGTAAAACCACAATGGAATTTGTAAAGCATACATTGGAAATCCAAATATTAGTTACATTTCAGCAAATGATCAGAGTTCTATTAATATATGTATGTAAATGTTTATTAATTCAACAGAATACTTAAAAGTATTCCATCACTTTGTTGCAAGTTCAAGCTTCTGCTTTATATTCTGCATTATACCAACCAAATCTAAATTATGTAATATAATCTATTTAAACAAAATTTACCTGGAGGATATGTCATTATTACCAACTGTAATTTGTGTCAGTCTTAACTTATTAGATTCCAATTTTTTGCATTTCTCCTTAATACTTATTATTTCTAAATTTTTAAAATCTAATTGTGTTCTCAAATCTTGCATCTGACTGCTAACAGTTTGGAGTTTCTCCATCCAATCCACCTCCAATTTTTCCTGTGCTTTTATTTTGTCCATTCTAGCATTATCAACGGCTATTTGGCATGACTTCAGCTGCGTACGAAGAATTGAAGCTTCACCTTCTTTTGTGACACACTTCTCTAACAATTTACCATTCTCCGATTTCAGCTTTGCATTCTCCTCTTGCATTTCCAATAACTGTCTGTATATGAAATCTTGGTCTTGTGTTTTACATATTTTGTCATTGAAAACAATTTCATCTCTATAATTAAATTTTTCATTTTGGTTACATGTGACTTTATTTGACATGCCTGGTAATGGCGATGATATAGTGTGACATTTGTTCTTCAAATGTGTAGCAATAGCACTAGGCGGATTAGTACTGGGTTTTTTAAAAGTGAAAGTGCCTTTAGATGTACTAGGTGTTGGTTCATATTGAGTACTAGTTGTTGCAGGTTGCATACACATACTGTAATCCGGTAAGCTGCTAATATCATTGTACACCTGTTCGCAGGCTTGGCTAGCCAAGAGCAAGATCTCATCATCATTCTCATCTCCCCAATTGTCTTGTTCAGGAGCTACACACAAAAGTATTTTAATTTAACCTTTACCATATAAAGGAAGGATTTGAGAATGATACCTATAAGTTGTGTAAAATAGTGGAACAAATACAAAATATTTTTTGCAAGAATGAACACCTGAGAATTTCTGGATCAATATAGATATTTTTTTTTTATATTCATAATTACATTAATAGGTCTAAAGGAAAAAAAATGAAAAGTTGCATAGGATCCTTAAAATGTTTCACTCATGTTTAACTATAATAAGTCAACTTGTGGCAAGTAAAGTTTCATTAAATATATATGTATGAAAAACTTTTTATTTGTTCTTGAGAAAAACACGTAATTAAAAAAATGAAAGACCACTCACAGAAAACTATTTCATCCATGTCGAAAATTTAAAGACCTAAACATTAAAAAAATATCCGAATAAAATAAATAATGTACCTTTAGAATTTTGACTCAATGGAAAGTTATGGTCAGAAATAGTCACATTCAGCTTGGCCTTTTTACGGTCACCGTATTGTTGATTCAATACAAATCTTTTAGACATTGTGCTCAAATATATAACATTTAAATCTGCTCTCTTCTAGTAGTAAACTTCGTCCGCTAAGGACAGGCGAAGGCGATTGAGCCATACTGCCAGATCTTACGTGTTTATTTCTTTTCTTTTATTTTATGTACGCATCAAGTCTGTAATATTGGTTAAATTTCTCCAACAGTAGAATTAATAAAATTATAAACAGGAATGAAGTTTTCTGGGTGTGATAGAATTTCTTGAAGAGAGGGCGGGATGGTCTTGGAAGTGTCTAAAAGCTGATCTATTAGTAGTAAACGTTGTAAATTGAATGCAGGACATGTGAAGAAAATGTGTTCCAACGATTGATCTTCTTGTAATGAACATTCAGTGCAAATCGGGGATGTTATAATGCGCATACGGTGCAAGTGAGCCTTAGACCTACAATGTCCAAAACGCAATCTGGTTATTTGCGTATAAAATTTCCTTTGCAGATAGTCCTTGGAGACGGCAAACCATGGTTTTCGTCCAACTTCTTTATTAATGCTTGCATACCAGGTTCCTTTTGACTGAGTTATTATGACATTTTCTTCATTCCATTGCTGATTAATTTTATTACTATATTCAGGTAACAAATCTTGCCAAGAAACAGGTATATCTTTTATATTACCTCCCGTTGTGTTTGTTAGACGGGCAAGGAAATCGACTTTTTCGTTACCCGCCACACCAACATGTGCTCGCGTCCATATAAATTTTACGTCTTTTTGTTTTGTCATTGTCAGTTTGTTTAAAATTTCTCTGATTTCATAAAGTAAATAATTATTATTTTCAAAACCTGAGCGATTAAGGGCTTTAAGTACAGACATACTGTCGGAGACTATAAGAAAATTGTTTTTGTTAGAACAGATAATGTCAGTTTCAATATATTGTAAAGCCAATAAAATTGCCATTGCTTCAGCCGAAAATATACTGAGGATAGGTGGTAAACGGTAGCCTTTGCCATATTTCATTTTACTATGATAAAATGCTGCTGAGACTCCAAATTCACTTTTCGAACCATCAGTGTAAATTACTTCGTGTTCTGGCCAGGTATTTAACATTTCATAAACATCTTGTTTTGTTTGCAATGCGGTGTTTATAACCGTTTCAATTGAGGTAAATTTGCTTTCATATGAGCCACTATAGCAAGCCCAATGTTCATCAGAATAAATATTATATTGATTAATAAATGTTATTGTTTCATTGAGATCATGTAAAATATATGGATATTTAGAATTTGATGAAGATGTTATTTGGGGTAGATTCTGACGTAATTTATTTAAAAGCGGTTGATTGTTTATTCTATAGAGCTTAACTATAAACTTAAATTTTAAATATTTGAATCTTATTAATAGAGGGGGAATATTACATTCTATTTGCATAGATATTATAGGTGTTGTGTTCATTGCACCTGTGATGAGTCTAAGGTTTTTATTTTGGATTTTTTCCAGTTTATCAATGAGATGATGATTGGAGGAGTAACACATAAAGCTGTACTCAAAGTGAGCACGAACTATAGATTTATATAACATTAACAAGATTTTTGGATCAGCACCCCAATAAGTGGAAGCCAATGATTTCAAGATGTTGAATGCTTTTAATGCTCTGTCTGCTAAAACTGAAACATGTTTGACCCATGATAAATTTCTCATAAATGTAACTCCTAAAAATTTTGCTTCTTCACTAACTGGAAGTGAGATACCATTATAAAGGATGTTGGTAAGTAACATTTTAGATTTATTGAATACTACCACACTAGTTTTATTTTGGTTAACTTCTAATTTCAAGTAATCAAAGTAAGCTTTCAATTTTACCAATGCAGTATTAAGTTTTTTTTCAATTTCTTGAATACTTTTGCCAGCACAGTAGACTGTGAGGTCATCAGCAAATTGGAGATTACATATTTCATTACCTAAAACATTATTTAATTTGTAAATGTACAAAATAAATAATAAGGGACTTAATATTCCTCCTTGGCAAACACCTTTGTTTGACTGCTGTGGACCAAATAAATTATTTTTAAACCTGACATAAACTTTACGGTTGTTTAAGAAATTAAAAATCCATTTGATTAATTTTGCAGGTAACCCAAGAGATGCTAATTCATTTACTAAAACAAGATGGTCGACATTATTGAAGGCACCTGTTATGTCAAAGAAAACACAAATTAAGAAATTATTCTTAGAAAAAGCATTATTTATATCAAGGTATAAGTGACTCAAGCTTTCAACAGCTGATCGCCCTTTTCTAAAGCCAAATTGATTATAAGATATTAAATGATTATGTTCTATATAGTACTCAAGTCTTTGCTTCAATAACTGCTCAAATAATTTTCCTGCACAGGATGTTAATGCTATTGGTCGGTAGGAGTCATGATGACCACTACTTTTTCCTGGTTTAAGAATAGGAATAAGACAATCAACTTTCCAAGATTTGGGGATTATTAAATTATGCCATAGTAGATTGAAAATATTAAGAACAATTTGTAAACTGGATGAATTGAGATTTTTAAACATTTTATATGAGATATTATCTAGACCAAAAGCTGTATCCTTTCGAGAATGAATGGCACTTAACAGTTCATTAAGTGTAAATGATTTCATAAAAAAATTGTCAACATTTGATATGTGATTACAAATACTGTCACTTAAAGTTTGACTATTAGTATTAGATGTGTATTTATCTAAGAATGCCTGTATCCAGTTGTTGTTGTTCATGCCACTGGATGAAGGAATGTAGGTTTTATTAAATTTTCTAAGGTTAGTCCAAATAGTTGACAAAGGAGTATGACGACTAAAAGTATTACAAAGATCCGACCATGCCTTTTGTCTTTCTTGTTTAATAATAAGTTTCTTTTGTGCTTGCTTACTTTTAAATAAAATGTAATTTTGTTCAGTAGGGTTTAGTTTAAATTGTATATAAACATTTTTACAACTATCCACAGCCTTTTTGCAAATATCATTCCACCAGGGCAGATTTAATTTCTTTTTATTTTTGTATTGTATATTTTGAAATGATTTTTTAGTTGAAAGATTTGCATCAGATACACATTGTAGTAAATTATTAATTAGCATCTCATAACACACATCTGGATTGTTTTTATCAAAAGCACATGCACTTAGTTTTATATCTGCCAATTTAGTATATTTTTTCCAATCTACTGTTCTATAATTTGGTCTAAAATAATTTACACCACAATTGTTATTATTATTATTTACAGGATTCAGTAATAGACTAGTAAGGACTGGGAGATGGTAACTACATAAGGGGTCATCGTGCACCTGCCAGTTACATCTTAAAGCTAAAGTGGGAGAAACTATTGTCAAATCTAAAGCATTTGGTCGCCAGTTGTGGGAACCAACTGTTGTTACTGATCCATCATTTAAAAGACATAGATTGTTATCATTTATAACATCCAACAGAGTAGAACCACGAGTGTCAGTTGATGTACAACCCCACATAGTGTGATGTGCATTAAAGTCACCAGCTAATATTAAAGGATTTGGTACAGATTTCACTAGATTGTCCAAATATACGTAATTAAAATTTGAAGGGGTAGCAGAAGAAGGGCTATAGAAACTAATTATAGATAGGGATTCATTATTGATTTGTAATGTGATAGCAATATTTTGTAAGGAGCTATCATAATATGTTTGTATTCTTTGATAATTTAAGTAATTTTTAATTAAGATAGCAACACCATTATGTTTTGAACCAATGTCTAATCTTTCAATTTTATAACCTTTTATATTAAAAGATTTCGTACTCTGTAACCAAGTTTCAGATATAAGAGCAATATGTATTTCATTTTCATAAAGGTACTGTGAAAAAATATGTTTATGATTAAGCAAACTCTGAGCATTCCATTGTACTATTCTTATAGACGTGTGATCCATAAAAAATAAATAGGTAAGGGAATTCCTATGTAAGTGATTGTTTGTTTAATGTTAATTTATTTTCTTTCATATTTGTCAGAAGAATGGTTTTAATACTTTCAGAATTTATAGGAGTTTCATTTAATTTATTTTCATGTATGACTTTGACAATTGTTGATATAAGGATATTTAAACATTCATCAGATTCTAAATATCCGGAAATATTTTCTGAATTAGAGATACTAGTTTTATGTCCTTTACTATTCAAAATAGGGAAAGCATTATTGTCAAATAAATTAACAAATGGTACAGTTTTTTGTTTTATTTGGTTTTCTTGTATTTTCTTCTTTTTGATGGGGCATTGGGCAGAAATTGCTATGTGTTTGCCGCTGCAATTTACACAAGTGGCTTCGTTACTGTCTTTATTGCAATCTCTATAAGAATGGCCTTCACCACAGATTGAACATCTCTGAGAATTTTTGCAATATTTTGCTATATGACCGTATCTGAGGCATTTAAGGCATTGTGATACTGGCCTAACATACTGAGTTACATCAAAGAACCATGAATTTATATCAACATGCGTTGGCAATATTGGACAAGCAAATGTGATAGCTACCGTTTGTGTTGGAAATAGCGTTGGTTTGCCATCGTCGTCCTTTCCACGCCGCATAAATCTGCGCACTGAAACTACATCCTTGGAGCTGGTCAAACCTGAATAAATGGTTTCATTGGACATATAAGTAGGTACATTTCTTATTATACCAGTAGATTCGGTAAGAGCAGCTGGGATAGAGGCTCTCACTTGCAAGTCTTTTTGAATTTTTAGATTATTTAGCGCTAAGTTAGCTAGTCCCGGTCGTTCAAATATTGCACCTATCTTGTATTTGTTTATTCTTTGGAATCTTTTTATTCCTTTACATTGTCGTTTTAAAGCAGTCCCAAGTGACATAAGATCTCTATCACCTATGGGCTTGCCTGAGTCAACACTTTCGTATAATACTATATATTCAAAGTTACCGCCTTCCTCGGGATACTGCCGTGAATAGTTTTCGACTTTGAAAATTAAGTATTTATTATTTTCCAACGAGGAATCAGAATGTCCCTCGTCGCTATCACCAGACTCTGCTTCCGCCTTTCTTTTTTTTCTTTTGGTCTTCATTTTAATAGGAAAATTTAGATGGAATTTAAAAAACCTTTTGGGAGACAAATTTAAAACACCCGCCTAATTTGACTTCCCGCCAAAAAGACAAGCACGTTTGACATTGGCATTAGAGATGGACGTTTAAACGAAAAGCACTTTTCTAAATAAGTGCAAAAGCGCTTTTTCACTTAGAAGAAAAGTATGCTAATGCTTATTGTACGTCCCGCCATCTATAAAGATATAACTACTAGCTTCAATCAATTTTTCTGTTTCGGCATTATTGACTTTGTGTTGAATGTTAATTAATTGCATACGTTGAATAGTATGCGTAAATAAATTGCTACTTAAGTAACGACTTTTGTTTATTCTTAAATAAACAATGTAAATAAGTTTTGTTATGAAGTAATGGTGTGTATATAAAACATTCTAAATTTTATTAAACTGCACTAGTTTTAAAATTATGTAAATAAAATGTCGAGAAACAGTAATAGTATTGTGGTCTTGTATTATACATAAAAACCTTCCTTATGAATCACCCTATCTATGAAAAAAAAAACCGCATCAAAATCCGTTGCGTAGTTTTAACGATTTAAGCATACATAGGGATATAGGGACAGAGAAAGCGACTTTTATACTATGTAGTGATAACACAACATTGCACGCTTATTACAACGATTTCCAAACGTCAGTTGAAAAAAAGCATTTAACCAAAAGCAGTTTTTAAAAACGCTTATTAAAAATCGTACAACCTAACAACGCTTAAAATTTTTAAGCAGTTATTTCCACCTCTAATGGCATTATTGGCCAGAGATTGGTTAATTGGCATTAACGCGCTAATGACAAATTATAAATTTTAACGTGTTAATGAAGGTGCTAATTTATTAACGCGTTAATTCAAAGAAGCGTAAGGGTGAGTCAAGACTCGTTATATTTTGTAACCGGCTAAATCTTGTAATACGTTCATTATTTTTTGTTGTACGTTAAACAGATAACGTGCTATATTAAACAATAATTCATTAAAATTTAGTCTAAATCGTTCGAAATAAAGTATAGCAGTATTTACTAAATTAAAATTATCTACTTAGCGTACTCCGAGCATTAGTTTTGGAATTTCACACGTGAATCGTGTTAGCGCGTGAAATTCTTAGCGCCTTCGCGTATACCAACTTAGCAGTGCTAATCGTTAAGAGAGAAAGCCTATTAATTAACACATTAGATGCTAATTTAACCACCACTATTATTGGCTTCGATATAGCGTTTTTTATTTTTTTCTATAAGGAAAAGCGAAGAAAGCTTAATCCATACAGCCTCATTGTGTTGTTTGAAGGCATTGGCGTAGTAAATATTTTTTTTATTTGGTAGATTTTTTCTTATTTAGACAAAATGCGAAGGAAACTTAGGACCACAAATTGTCTTTTTATAGGACGTCTATACAATCGGCCTGATGGATGAATGGCCAATCACTGAAAGCCACGAATTAATAACCACTGTTTTCTAAGAAAGAGACGTAGTTTCGGGATTCACCATTATTGTAAATGTTAGTGAATGATATTATTGATTGTTTCTTATCTTCATCAAGTTATATAAAACTATTAAATTTCTGTTTTCTGAGTAGTTTTAAACCTTCTCGAAATATTAACTAAAATAAAATCAAACGACTTAGGAAAATTACAAAAGGAAAATGCAATTTCAACTTATTAACAGAGCGTAATGAATACTGAATTAACTGCGGTTATCATCTTTTACCCTCAATTACTTTAAGTTGAAAATAATACTCTCTTTAAAGGTTACTAAATAAATAAATACATTAACTTTCCACCGACATTTGTTTTTTGTCAACCCTTACGCCGTTAGGAAACCAATGCACTCGCTTACGTAAGCGAAACTATTGCAAATACGAAACATCTTCATCCATCTGTGTAACGTTTTATTCGGTTGATTGTGAAACATTTTTACGAGAACGCAGCTATTTCGGCGATCTAATAATAGAGAATGCGAATATTCGTAATATCCAATCACTACATACACATCATTTGTATCTTTACTCCCCCATATTCTTAGTCTGTGAACACTGTTCATTATTTATAATCTAATAGACGAATATTAAATTTATTGTTTGTTAAATTATTAACAAATAATAAATTAAGGTCTTTGTCTGGATTAAAATGATTTTTACACCAACAGTCTTTTAAATAACATTTATTTAAGTATATCCTTAATATTATTAGGTTTAAACTTCTTCCTCTTACCCTTCCCCGGATTCTTATTTATTTTCTGTTTGGGCTGTTTCACCCTCTCGCGTCTCGCATTCTTCAACCTCAAGGCGTGTTTACTCTTTTTCTTTTCCATTTTCACGTGTTCTCTGTGTATATCAGCTTGCATCTTCAACTTATAACCGCTTCTCATTTTGTGCTGAGTGCCTTCTTTGGCTGTCAAACCTGCATACTCATCGACAGTGTCATTCTTCGGTAACCTCACAAACTTGCCGACTTCGTTTTGATTATTTCTGTTTTGCCACTTCTTATTTGTGTTCCTGCCTTGGTTATTAGATTCCCATTTTCCTTTATCTTGGTCTTTATCAAATCGTTTCTTTTTAACGTAGCTTTCGTCAGGTTGTTGCCCCTTTCGTTTCCTATTGTTGTATCCTTCGTTATTTGCGTTATTAGTTTTCTTGGCGACTGGATTGTTTGCTATTGACTTCTCTAGCCTTTTCTTTCTAGCGTTTAAAGCCGTTCTGTCTTCTATTGAAAATGAGACGATGGGTCTCTGTGGAATGGATGATATAATTATAAAATACGTTTTAACTTAATCTGAATAAGCAAGTATTTATAAAAAAAACACATCTCGAAATCAAACTATCGAAAATGTCATTACATATTTTGAAACAATAGGGTAATTTTGGTAGTGAAAAATAATTTACGAAAATGTACCAAAACATAAGGTTAAGAATGTGTCAAATTGAACATAACCATCACTTAAACAGATTTTCCATTCTGATTTTAGTTTTTTAATGATCAGCTGATAAGAGTTTGATAAAACTAGGACTTTTTGATTCATTAAACATAAAAATCTGTAATTATTGAGAATAATCACTTAGCTTTTGTCATATTTTTAGCTCTTCCTGTTCTTATTTACATAGAAAAATTATTTTTATATTGAGGAACCGCAAATTTCAGTTCCTATATTATGTTACGTGTAACGGCACAAGCAAAATACTCTATGGTCCATTTCGACGTTACTATTTCTGTTAAAAAATTACGAATCGTGTCGAACATTAGTGAACGCCATCTTTAACACCGTTGCCGAACATAGGAATTCCGTACGTTGACCTTTTTATCTATTGATAAATATCGTAAACATTTTAGGTTCACTTTACTATGACAAAATGCATCTGTGCGCAATATAATATGTTTACGCAAGAGTAAAATCAATTTTCAATGCCGGCTCAATGTACGAAATTCTTTCTGTTGGGCAACTTTGCTATAGCCACAAGTATTTAAGTAGTTTTTTTTTTATTAAATAATTCCTCATTGATGCTGAATAAAATTAAAACTTACATTATTTTTATCGAAGATATCAGGGTTGTTGTTTAATCTCCGTAGACAAGCCAGTGCATCCTCATGTTTCGTGAACATTACAAAACCATAGCCTTTCGACCTGTAAACATGTGCACGATAAACATATTGTACTAGAGAGAATATTATCTGTAGCCATGAGAGTCAATGTAGAAATTGAACTTTTCTATATTGTCTCGCGTCTGGGTTTTGTGGTACCTTCGTTGTCTCAGATACTACAATACGGGGACTTTAGGTACTCATCTTGGAATCTGAGCCAATACTTATTTAATTTTTATATTGTATTTAATACTTCAACATATGGAAATCTCTTGTATATTCTTGTCACGACCTCGTAACAAAGACATAATTAGAGGGGGGGGGAGCCCCCTTCAAAAACACTCTCCCTAACAAGATTCATGGCCGAGGCCATGGCCATCCTAGGAAAAATGCCTAGTTACGCCAACGCCTTAGACTAAGTTATATGAATATACTCACGGCTGTTTCCCGTCAGCCGCTAGAGGCGCCCGCAGATCTCTCATCACGCGGCACTCGGTCACTTGCCCGTTGCGATCGCACAGCCGCCGCAGACGCGCGTCGTCATAGTGAGACGGCAAGTTAGATACCACCAAACGATAACGAGACACGAACCTAAAGATACCACACCAAATATACAGGGTCAGATCACAATCGGCGCTAGTCGGTTCGTAATTATAACGATAATACGGTTTTTTTTCTAGTAGTGTTTAATATAGTGTTTAATACTATTACTGAAAATCACGCTTTAACTAATTATGAATAAAAACAAATATTTTATGGTCGTTGTCACGTGACCCCAAATAGCGTGTGACATCATGCCCCTCTTACTCATATCAGAACTTAGAAAAGTCAGCCTTATGCATACACAGAACAGTATTCGTTTCAGAGGGCCGTGACGTCATTCGTTTTTGTAGGTCCATCCTAGATAATTTTTTTCCCATGGTTGAGTATATTAATTAAATATGATGAAAATGGTAACTTGTGTGTAACAATAACTATGTAGTAATTTTTGTTTTAAAATAAATTGTAAGTATATTTTATTCATGGAAAATTAACTTGCTATTTAGATTACTCTGTGGATTACAAGAACTGACACACTAACGGCTATATCGGATCTAAACGTCAATGGTTGCGCGTACCAAATAGCTCAAGTGCTTTTAGAGTCTACTCCATTTATTAACGGTCTCTAACTTAGATAATGTGTACCAAATGTCTAGGTTATCAGTGGTAAAACCAACAGATGGGATAGGAGTTTTATTTTTACAACCCATGCCTTCACTGAAATTTTTGTTATCTACTCCATTAATACCACTTTATTTTACGCACTTCGAATTTCATTTACCCAGCATTCACAATGCTATACTGAAAAATACTCTCAAAAAATCCACTAAAGCCCCACCACAGTATCATCCCAGTTCAGGGGAGCGATATCATAAAAATCCGAACCAGAATTCAAATTCACACATGTGTCGGAATTGAAGTCATTTAGTGTATAAATTCTATTTTTTGTATAAAAATACAAAACAAAATTGATTGATATTCTATCACTATGTAATTTCGATACTCACTTCTCAAAGTTAAAAGGATGCCGCTTTTCAAGTGGATTCGGACACCTAAGTGAATCCGTATGGTTCGGATTTTTACTGAATCGCAGGGCAGTTATCAGTTCGAGTCCCATAGCACCATCTCAGAGTGCCTGGGGCAAGTGGACTTTTAAGCATTTCTCGTAAGATTTAGTTAGAATTTCTCATTTACCTGTTTAAGTTTTTCAACATTTGTGTCTTACTGCGCTCCAGTTTGAGACGTTTCGCCATGTCGGAAGCGGAGACGCCTTCCGCCGCCTTCGTACCGGCCACAATCACTGTCAGTTATTATAATCACAATGAACAATTTAATCATTTACACTGATAATTAATTTACTGAGTATTGACAATAGAGATGACGACAAATTTGTTTGCCCGTCAAGCAAATCAATAACTTTTGATGAAACAAATACCAAACTTACAAATACAAACTCGAAAATGTTTTAAAGAAACATAGCTGCTCAATATAATTCTGTTGTACTATTATAATAAAATTTAAAACTCAATTTCTAAAACCAATTCTATAATACGAGCCCATAGTGCAGATATAAACTTTACTAAAATTGATGTTATATAATACTAGATAACACTATTGAGTAGTTTGGTGGTGCAGTGGATAAGCCACGACCCGCAATCGTTGTTGTTAAGCAACTTTCACAAGGGACAGTCACGGGATGGGTGAGTAAAAATTATCATCTCAAGCTACTCCATATCCAAAAAACATCTGCACAGTTCACTTACCACCTTCCTTAACGAGGTAAAGGTTCCGATTGTCTTTTGGCTGTTTCTGATTGGTCTTTTGAAGGCTTTCGCGATTGAGAGCCGGCTTCACCTGCAGCACTTGACCTTCCAGTCTCAATTGTTCAGCTGGCAACGCAAGAAAATTGTCTGCATCTTCTTTTTTCTGTAATTAAAAATATTATTAAGTACAATGGGTAAAAGAAAAGGTTCGTCACAATAAAGTCGAATTTTGCTAGTAAAAGCTTAATGCCACACAAACGTGCCAAGTGCGAGTTACATTCTCTTCTTCTTCTATTTTAATGGCTATTTTGTGTTAACCACAATCCTGCCAATTTCACGTAGGAGACCACTACACGGTATAATAATTAATATAATCAATTTGGAATTTCGTTATCTCGGTTAAGAACAATCTATTAAATTTCATAATCAAGTGGCGAAAAAAATTGGCAGACTGATTAAACTGCCTGTATATTCCATAAATGTAAATAAATAAAACACATGCATTTTGAAGAGGAAGAAACATTTTTATTATGTCATATGGATTTCATAACAAAATATATTAAGGAGTGTATGAACACTGGAAGAGAATCCCTTACGCAGCTATGTCTATACCTAATCGCCGTGCATCGACGTCGAGGTCAAGCTGACACGAGTTGCCGACGCTGCAGTTTACACCACTTAAGCAATTATAATATTTTATATTCACTCTGATTTCTAACATCGAAACGGTCATAGGTTATTTTTAGATGTTAAATTATTTTTATAAGTATTTTCCTTTTTAATTAAATTTATTATAATAATTTTGGTTTTTTTTCGAACCTCCGGCTGCAGTAAACGTAATTGGCGCAGTCGGTAGGATACTCGCGGGCTGTATCCTTGAAAAACGTGGACTCTATCTATCGTTTCCGCGATCGCGTGTCGCCCGGGCGGCTTTCTAGCGCCGAAACCGAGTATCCTGAATCTACGGACCCGCTGCAGACCAGAGGCGAATCTAGAAATCGATTCCAGAGGGAAAACCAGATGATGCTGTATATGTAAGTACACTTGAATTTTTCTCGTGTTGCTTTCCTTTAGTCCTTATCCTTAATATTTTTAGTGTTTCAAAATTTTTCACCCAAGAAGTTTGAAAGTACGGCAACCTGTATCACAACAGGCTCGCCAACATATATTAGATTTAAATAGAGATATAAATTTAGAGTTAATAATGGAAAATCAATTACATACCCAAACCCAGACAGCTACTCCAATCAGTAGTCATAAAATGGATACCGATACAATTTTTAAAGCTTTTCGTCTTATACCGGAATTTGATGGTAATCCGAATATACTAACGAGATTCATTAATATCTGTGATCGAATAGTGGCTGAATACGTAAAAGAGGGACAGGAAAATTTATTTAACAATGTTTGCTTATTGAATGGTATATTAAATAAAATTTCGGGTACTGCTGCATCGACTTTAAACTCAAACGGAATACCGGAAAGTTGGCTAGGAATCAGAACCGCCTTAATTAATAATTTCTCAGACCAACGGGACGAGACAGCCTTATATAGCGATCTGTCATTAGCAACCCAGGGTAATAAATCTCCACAAGAATTTTACGAACATTGTCAAACTATGTTTAGCACCATAATGACATATATTACTTTGCACGAAACTGTTAGTACAACCGTAGAAGCAAAACGCGCCTTATATAAAAAAGTAGCTATGCAGGCCTTTGTAAGAGGACTCAATGAACCTCTAGGGTCACGCATTCGTTGCATGCGCCCTCCTACCATAGAGAAGGCCTTAGAATATGTCCAAGAGGAATTGAACGTAATTTATTTACAGCAACGCGGTGATACATCTAAAAATCATCATAGCCATAAGGTGCTTCCGCAACCACCACCTGTAACAATGGCAGCCCCGCGACCTCAGTTTATGCAATTACCTATGTGGCCAACTCCCCTTGGACAACGTGGATTCCAACCACCACCACAGCCTTTTAAATTTAATAACCAACCAGTTCAATACCAGCAACGCATGGGCCCAACTCGTACTCAGCAAATGTTTCGAGCTGCACCCCCTAATTATAACCCCCACAGTAACGTTTTCCGTATGCCACATAAAATAAATACACCACAGAATATAGCTCCCAAGCCCATGAGTGGTATTCAAACTTTTACACCTCGTCAATTACCCCACTACTATGATGACTGGACACGATTGGCGTAAGTCAGGCAATCCTCCCCCATCAAATTATTTTAAGACTCGCGAAATGAACTTTAACGAATTTTATAATTATGATGGATCATATTACCCTACTGACTATTATGATGAGACCGATTTACCTTATTACACAGGAGCCTCTGACTACGATTACTATAATGAACATCCTTACACTATTGCTGAACAAATTGATAATACTACTGACGGGACTGACGTGACTGATATAATCGAACCTCAACCAGGACCTAGTAACGCGAATCAGGATTTTCACAGGAATACGCCATCAAAGAAACCAAAATAGAGATAAACCTCCAAACTCAACGACAATTACCTTATATACAAATTCTTGACCCTCCTTTGAAATTTCTTATAGACACAGGAGCAAATCAATCTTTTATAAGCCCTAAAGCCGTCAAAGAGTACTTTAATAACTATCCTCTGAATTATGACCCTTTCGAAGTGACAAACGTACATGCCACCAGTCGTAACGAGTATTCTATTACATTACCATGCTTTAGTGAATTTAATGACAGTGACTGTATAAAACTTTTTATCTATCAGTTTCATGATTATTTTGACGGATTAATTGGACTAGATCTTCTTACTAAATGGGAATCTAAAATAGACTTGAAAGAAGGGAAGCTTGTTACTCGATCATCATCAAACCCGATTAAAATGTACAATTCATATAACGTCAATCTTTATGAAGATATAATCCCTGCACAATCATCTAAATTAGTTAGAATTCCGATAGATACTCAAGATGGAGAAGTTTATATAAAAGAACAGATTATTTGTAACTGTATAATTCACGATTGTCTTACAACAGTTTTCAATAATCGCGGTTACTTAGAAATTGAAAACCCCACACCTAATGATATAATTTTTTCACTAGATCGACCAGCACATGCTGAAATATTTAATGTTAACTTCGAACGTATTAACCAACACAAAACACGCACCAAAAATGTAATCTCGCGTTTACGCACAGAGCATCTCAACGAGGAAGAAAAGGCCAATCTTATAGCTCTTTGCTCTCAATATTCTGATGTTTTTTACGTAGACGGCGAACCTCTAACTTTTACTAATAAAATAAAACATCAAATAAGAACAACCGATGAGATACCTGTCCATACTAAAAGTTACCGTTACCCGTTCGTACACCGCCAAGAAGTTAGGGATCAAATAAATAAGATGCTGGAACAAGGTATAATAAGACCATCCGATTCAGCTTGGAGTTCTCCAATCTGGATTGTACCAAAAAAGACAGATGCATCGGGCAAGCAAAAGTGGCGACTTGTAGTGGACTTCCGTAAACTTAATGACAAGACCATTGACGATAAATATCCAATACCCAACATAAATGACGTACTTGACAAGTTAGGGAAATGTCAGTATTTTAGTACTTTAGACTTAGCAAGTGGGTTCTACCAGGTTGAAATGCATTCCCAGGATATTCCTAAAACAGGGTTTAATGTAGAACATGGGCACTATGAATTCCTTCGTATGCCTATGGGACTTAAAAATTCACCATCTACCTTCCAACGGGTGATGGATAACGTCTTAAGAGGCCTCCAAAACGAGATATGCCTGGTCTACCTTGATGACATTGTAGTCTTCAGCACCTCACTCCAAGAGCACATCGTCAACCTGGAAAAGGTTTTCCAAAGACTTAGGGAATCAAATTTTAAAATACAAATGGATAAATCAGAATTCCTAAAACTCGAAACAGCTTATCTTGGTCATATCATTAGTAAAGATGGAATCAAACCTAATCCCGACAAGATCACAGCAATAAAAAATTATCCAATCCCAAAGACACCTAAAGAAATTAAACAATTTCTAGGACTTCTCGGTTATTACCGAAAGTTTATCCCAGACTTCGCTCGAATTACTAAGCCTCTTACACAGTGTCTAAAAAAGGGAAAGAAAATAACATTTGACCCCGAATACGTAGAAAGCTTTGAAAAATGTAAAACGCTACTTACAAATGATCCTATATTGCAATATCCCGATTTTAACCGAGAATTTCTTCTAACTACAGATGCATCTAATTTCGCTATTGGAGCAATACTATCCCAAGGACCCATAGGATCAGATAAACCTGTTTGCTATGCCTCTCGTACTCTCAACGAGAGTGAACAAAATTATAGTACAATTGAAAAGGAGCTTCTTGCTATAGTTTGGGCTACTAAATACTTTAGACCATACTTATTTGGAAGAAAGTTTAAAATATTGACTGACCATAAGCCTCTACAGTGGATGATGAATTTAAAAGAACCAAATTCTCGTCTCACTAGATGGAGACTTAAACTTAGCGAATACGACTTCACTGTTATATACAAAAAAGGTAAATCTAATACAAACGCTGACGCTCTCTCCCGCATAGAAATCCATAATGAGGAAATAGAGTCAATAATAGAAAATCTTAAAGAGCTTAGTTCACTTATAGGAAATCCATCTGAAAGTGTACGAGAAGACGTGTTAGATAAAGGATCGTCAACTGAAACAGCCCATACTAGTAACGAACACCCTATTTTAGAAGTACCTATTGTAGACGAACCATTAAATAAATTTAATAGACAAATATTCTTCACTATGGTGGAAGACATCACACGTAGGCCCATAGTAACTAAACCTTTTGAGACACATACGCGTATTGCTATTCAATTATCAAAAAATAATTTAGAAGAAGATGTAGTTAAAGCCATTAAAGAATACGTCAATCCAAAAGTAAAAACTGCTATCATGATACACCCACCTCTTGCCATGTATTCAATAATTCCAATAGTACAAGAGAAGTTTCGTAGCTCATCTATGAATTTAGTACTTACCAAAGTAGAACTAGAAAATATTAAAGAATACTTGCGTCAGCAAGATATCATCCGATCATATCACGAAGGCAAGACGAATCATCGAGGAATACACGAAACTTATTTAGCGCTCTCACGAAAATATTATTGGCCCAAGATGAAAGATCATATTTCTAAATTTATCAATGAATGTACAGTTTGTGGACAGGGTAAATATGACCGTAACCCTATTAGGCCCCAATTTAATATAGTGCCACCCGCGACTAAGCCATTTGAAATAATTCACATGGACTTATTTACAGTTCAAAACGAAAAATACATTACGTTTATAGATGTATTCACTAAATATGGCCAGGCATACCATCTACGAGATGGTACAGCAGTTAGCATCTTACATGCCTTACTAATGTATTGTACTCACCACGGTGTTCCATTAACTATTGTGACAGATAACGGAACCGAATTCACAAATCAACTTTTCGCAGAATTCGTTAGACTCTATCAAATAAATCATCATAGAATACTTGCACATTCTCCAAACGACAACGGTAATGTCGAAAGATTCCACTCCACACTACTTGAGCACCTTCGCATTCTAAAAATACGAGAGAAAGATGAGCCTATAGTTAATCTTATGCCCTATGCTATAATAGCATATAATAGTTCCATCCATAGCTTCACCAAATGCCGACCCTTTGATCTATTAACTGGACACTTTAACCCTAGAGACCCAATTTCAATTGATATAACGCAACATCTTTTACAACAATATGTAGAAAATCATAGACAGCGAATAAATCATGTTTACGATCTCATCAATGAGACAGCCCTTAATAAACGTACAGCTATCATAAATAACCGTAACAAAGATAGGGAACCTGAAGTAGAATACACACCGACACAACAGATCTTTATAAAAAATCCAACAGCTAGTCGACAAAAAACCGCTCCACGATTTACACAAGATACGGTATTAGCAGATCTACCCATACATATATATACGTCCAAAAAACGTGGACCCGTTGCTAAATCACGTATTAAACGAATTCCTCATACAGCTAAATTGTTACAGAGTGATCTTGGTTCTGACCAGCCAAGCGATGGGCGCTCAGGAGATAAAACTTGAAAGCCTAGCAGAAGGACCAGGACTACTGCCTTATAAACTTGGCACAGCTAGACTTATAGAACAGTATCATACATTTTTACAATACATTGAACTGGATGAGCTTGAGAACAACATTGACTTAGTACAGACTCAACTACAGACTTACCGTTCCAGACTCCCTAATGACACTTATCTTCTGTATGAACTGCAATTAGAATATCTTTCGAAGAAAATTAGTATAGCACAGATTCAATTAAATTCATTAGAACCTAATAGTCGTGTTAAACGAGGACTCATAGACGGACTAGGATCATTAGTTAAAAGTGTTACCGGAAATCTCGACCATTCAGACGCTATTAGATATAACAGACTCATTAAAGAATTACAAAATAATCAAAATAAAATTGTATCCGAATCCAATAGCCAAACCAGTCTTAATAAAGAATGGATGGTGAAATATAATACAGTTATTAATGAATTAGTTGAGAACCAAAGTAAAATAAATTCAACCTTAGAGCTACTACTAGATAAAAGTACATATATGGATAACAGTCTAATAAAGTATGCTAAATTCGGTCAACTATTAGATATACTTAGTGAAAATATAGAAGAGATAATGATAGAATTAATTAGAGTAGAAAATAAGGTAAAAAACTAAATGGAAATCGATAAACATAACACAAATTACAAAAGGACAATGAGCATAAATAAAGGATTGCGCAAGATCGCTACTTAATCATTTTTTTCTGATCCATAGAAAATGCGTTACCTAGAGCCTAATGACGATTAGACTAATGTAAGTAACATATTACACTAATTATAGAGTGTAATTTTGCTATTACATAAGAAACTTCTTATGTCCTCCTCAAATTTTCATACCTCTGGTATGAAAATTTTGTGCTTTCAAATACTGCAGACATGGACTCATGTTCAAACAAAAAAAAATAGCATTGAAATAATTAGAACAACGAATCTGTTTGTTATGCCATACCGCCCTCCAAATAGGAGCATTCTAGCCAGTTGCCTAGTTTGCCTATATGAATGAGCCAGCCATGGCATTACTATGCACTATCTGTGTCGCTTGTCGAGACTGTTTTCTGTTTTCTTGGGAAACTAAGTTACACAAAAAAGTAACATTAATATGCAGAATTGTACAAAGCACATTATGTTTACGAATAAATAGATTTTTTCTAAATGGACTTCAGTGAAACGTTGACATCATAAGATATCTCTGCCATCTGCAGCAAAATATGGCCATTCTCCTTCTAGTATTAGTATTGTCTGCTGTATGGAAAAAAAGATTGTACAAACTTACTGTGAACTTGACAAATCCTGATCCTTTCGAATGCTCAGTTAGTCGATCGACACAGACAAGAGCATACGAAACCGGAGCGAATCGCTCCACGAATTGCCGCAACTGATCATCGTCCACACTGAATGGAATATTCATTATAAACACCGTCAGTCCATCTTCAGCATCATTCAGTTTCGTGCTGTAAGTAAAATAAAGCTGAAAAATTTGCTTTACTCTCAGGACACTTACTTTATACTAAATACATAGTTTCCAGTTGGTGACTAACTGTACTATATGCTCCCCCTTCTAGTTTTCACATTGATTGAAAAGAAATTGATTCAACTTGTATTTTTCTTCATACAGCGTTAATATGATACCAACAGTGCACGAATACTATAGTTTTCATAGATATTGGTTAATGTGACAAAACTAACTCCTTCTTATGCAATTAAGTATGGTATTTTTGAACCATCTCCCCCTGAACCAATGACGTAGTATGGGTATTTTCTCTAACAGAGTATAAGCATAATTCTTAGATCAGGCTTACCGTTTCCTCTCATCCTGAGTACTGACTTCACTTTGATCATATTTGTTTACTTCATCTTTCTCCTCTTCGCCATCAACTTCATCATCCTCATCATCAGACGCATCACTGTTATCATCACTTTGCGATTTATCACTATTTTCATCATCATCTTCTTCATCATCTGTACCTTGATCTGATTCACCTATTAAATATTATGTGACAAATTTAAAAAAAAAAATCCTAGCTAATATGATATTAGCATAATCACCAAATATTTTGCACCAAGTAATCCTTAGTCTATAATTTCACACATATCAATGGCCTCATTTGTTTGTTGTCTCCAAAGTTTCTTATAAAACAAGTATTTTTAATTTCATATGACTCTAATTAAACAAATTTTTCAATACTTTATGTTGAAACATATGTAGGTGACACTGTGTCTGATGCACAAATTATCTTCACAGATATAATATTGTGAAAATTATTAGAACAATTCAAAATTTTCTGAATTTTCATTTGAGAACTATTAGAATGAGCTCTGAGGTGTTATGTCGATTATTTTAAAGAATAATGAAATACAAATTTTATCTATTATTATTTAAATATTTATATTTATCTTTAGCCATATATTAATGTAAAAATATAAAGGAAAGAGAGAACTACATTTACTCACTTTTTACTTCATGCTTCAGATCATCAGTAGATATATTTAGCGGTGGTCTATCTTCATCACTGTCAGATTCTTCCTTTTTGATTTCATTCTCCATTTCTAGCTGTTGGTGTACTATATGCTGCATATACTTGTCTTTGGCTACTGCCCAATCCACAGATATAGGTCTTCCTGTGGTTAAATTATTATTAACTTAGTTCATTGATCACTATTTAACAAATTGTACACTATTTGTCAATAACATACAATAAAGAACATTTCATAAATATCTTAACTGTAGTTGCTAAAGCAATTTTTTTGTTGAAATCTGATACAATGAAGGTTGACACTCACTAAAGTGAATAAAAATCTCCATTATCTTTACGGGGATGGAACACAATACTACCTCACAATACCAAACCAGTAACTAAATGCGATCAGATTAAATAAAATCTGTCAGGGACTCATAGTCAAACTAAATGTGCAGAGCTGACCATATGTGTAGCATTGCTTAAATGGATTTAAGTTATAATATGAAAAATATTTCTCATGTATTTTTATGGATTGCTTCTCTTGTGATTATTTTGGTTAGAACATATGAATAAAAACATCTTTACGCTATTACCATTACGAAGAACAAAATATATATATATATATATATATATATATATATATATATATATATATATATTTTTTTTTAAATTAGTAGTGAGACAAAGATAAGTATTCCATACTGTATATAAAATTTTCTTTTCAACTTACCTAAAAATGGTTTCATATTTGTATTTAACAATGCCTTTTTCGCCATTGGTACATTTTTAAAGTGGACAAAAGCACAACCAACAAGTTTTCCATCTGGTTTTTTGAGTAATTTCACTTCTATTATTTCCCCATATGATTTAAAATGTTCTATCAATGATTCTTCAGTAGCTTTGAAAGACACATTACGGACTATGAGCCGAGCATTCCTATTAATTCTTGTTTTATTTTTTTGGTTGGTCTCAACATCTTCTTTTGTGTCTTCATCTATAAAAGATTTATTTAAAAATGATTTATAACAACCAATCTTTAATTATTTACAATATGCAAAATTATTGTTAAATTATATTGAGGATTGAAGGCAAACGGTCAATTGCACAAATATCCATTAAGGTTTAAAAGGCCTTTAAGTCCTAATGAATGTAGAATTTGTATTGGTAATGTCACTTTAAACTAATGTCAATTTTAGTAGATGTTTGGGCATCTGGCTGAAATTGATTTAAACTAGTGATATTAAATTATAAACATATTCGGAATCGACAATGGACAGAATAATACCAAAACACACAGTTGAACGAATTATCCTTCTAACCCTTGATACAAAACTATAAGCCTATAACCTTTTATTTCAATAACATTTTTTGATGGGCTACTTTTAAAGTGACTTTCACACTCTTCCTTCTGCTCTTTATCACCATATTTATGCTTCGGTACAGCCCAAGTTACATGTATTGGTCGATCTAGAAAAAATGAAAAATATTTTAAAGCTGCATATAAATTTATATCATATACTCAGAATATGACTTATGATTACCATAGATAATTTTGATACAATATAAATAGGCATAAGGATTGTCAAAAGAAACTAAGGGACTATCCACAAATTTCATAACTTTTTTCCTTATTCTCGCAAATTATATTTAATAATATAATCTACTAAAACGTTTTATCAACACCACTCCTTTTGTGACGTAATTACTGTATAGCCCCTAAACAACTATTGCTTTATTACTAATGTGTAATACTCACCTAAAAATGGTTTTTTGTTAGTGGCTGCCAATGCTTCATTAGCCATGGGAACATGCGTGAAATGAACAAAACCACAACCTACTAGCTTCCCGTCGGGTCTTGTGAGAAGTTTCACTTCTTCTACGGTGCCGAATCGTGAGAAATGCTTCCTTAGACTATCTTCAGTAGCTTTAAAAGAAATGTTCCTCACAATCAACCTTGCGTTTCTGTTGACTCCATCCTTATACTTAGTGTTTGAATCACTTGCAGCCGATTTCTTCATGTTCAGTATTAAATAAAACCTATCACAATTCAGTAGACATGTGCTATTTTGATATTACATTCACAACATAACCTATAAAGTAAGAGTCCTTCGCTTACAATTCAGACGAGGAGGTTATGAAACCACTCGTTGAGAACAATTCCAATAATTAATAATAATAAAATAAAAGTTTATTAATATCTATTATGTATCTCAATGATTACGAAAAATCAACGAAAAATCACGGAAAATCACAGATTAGTAATATGTAGCAAGATGGAAAAATCTCCTTTTTCTTTTTAATCAATGGCGTTGCCCTTGTGTATTTTGCCAGAATCTCAGATTACTTCATATTTTAGTATTTTATACTCTGCTGTTTGTATGTTGGTAGTGAAATTTTGTTGAAGTTAAATTTTACCTACCTGATCGGGACCTACGTGACTTAAGTATTACCATAGTAAAAGTTAATTTTTGCAGGAAACGAATGGACCTTAACAAACATATTAAAAAACTGTAATTTGAAAATTCGAAACTAAGATATCAAGACAAATATGAAAAAGTACAAATAGAATATGAGTTGTTTATTGAGTTTTGAAAACGAATTTACTTTTAAACATGAAAGAAAACTGGAAGGGTTGTCATGGAAAAATCAAGAACGTACCGTAGCGCCATTTAGTTTGATTTCGAAAACTAATGTTTTTTTTTTAATACATTCATAAGATGTGTCGCGACGATTCAATTCCTAATCGATTCTACATATCGAGATGATAACACATCCTTCTGTTATGTCGCACCGGGGAAAAAATGATAATGATCATAAAGATGTTATGTATATAGGTATCTGCTTTGTTAATTCATTGCTTAACGTCAAATCGTTATACTTAACTTCAACAACGACAAAACAAGTTATGATTTGCTTCGTTTATACTGAATTTACATTGTCGCGAATCTAGCGCCTGTGTTCAGAAGAAAGCCATAGAATCCCATCCCATACATCGCAGATTACAACGCAATCCACAATAGCAATGAAATTAGATAATATAGAAATCACGTTAATATATTAATAAACCAATATGAATTCACCTTATGAAATACGAGATTATAATTGAATGGTAAAAATTACAGGAGGTAGGAAGAGTCTAAAATCATGGCAGAATTTCTTACCTAGTTAATTCTCGAGGCAGCTCCTCCGCCTTACAAGGTCAAGGCTCATCTACTCATCGGGCGACTTGACCACTACTCAACTGGAAGCCGGTCATCGACTTCACACGTCAACACGTGTGAAGTCAGGGCCGATCGACTAACACACAGTCGAAGTGAGTTCCCTGATTTTGAACCTATTTTACCTGAACCTATTTTAAAAACAAGTTTAAATAACTATAATAGCCTATTTAAGTTTCAATACAATGATTTTTAAAGATAATCAGCTAAAGAAAAAGAAAACTGCTGATTTATGGGGTAATTCCATTGACGTTTCCAAATCGGTAATTGAAACAATAACTCCAGTCCTAGCTTATATATTTAATGAATGTACTGAATTTTACTGTATTTTTCCTTTTCATAAATCGGGCAACACATCTGACCCTACTAACTTTAGACCTATATCCGCGCTACCTATGTTTAGTAAGAGTTTTTTAAATATCATGCTGCATCAAATACAAACATACTTTAACAAGAATAACCTTATGAATCGACAATAATTTGGTTTTACAAGTGGTCGTTCTACAACCGAACCCGGTGTCGAGTTAATACAAGAAATTTTTAATGCCTTGGAGGATTTACATGATGCGGTAGGTGTATTCTGTGACCTATCTAAGGCATTTGATTGTATTTTTCATGAAACATTGATTGGGAAACTTTATTATTATGGATTTAGAGATAAATCATTGGATTTTATTGTCTTATACTTGGGTTGATATCAATGGCAAAAGATCCCATAGATCAAAAGTTAAGATGGATGTTTCGCAGGGCTCAATACGTGGTCTTTTCATGTTTTTAATTTACATAAATAACTTGCCTTATTTCATAAGGGATAATCAGGAAATAGTTTTGTTTGTGGATGACACTTAACTTTTGTTTAAAATTATTAGAGGGCTACCTCTAAATCTATCGCTTAAGTAGTACATTAGTTTAATGTAAATTATTTTCAAAATGGCTAAAATTTGTACTACCTAATGTTCAAAAGTAGATATAAATGTGAATATAAAAGATAAGAAGGCTCATGCCTTTTAGATACCACAGTATTTTTAGACATAACATTAGATTCTAAACTATAGTGGGGCACTCATATTGATAAATTGTCGAATAGACTTAGCTCTGCAGCATATGCCCTAATGAACTATACTTTAATTACTTTCATAGTGTAATGTCGTACGGAATCCTATTGTGCGGAAATGCTGCCGACATTTAAATGATGTTTGTGCTTCAGATAAGAGCAATTAGATCAAATTATAGTCTTAGGATTAGGGATTCTTTAAGGGAGAAATATATGAACATGATAACTGTTGCTTCTCAATACATGTACGAGAACTTACATAATGTGCGTTCGTTAATATCTTTGTTTTCTATAAAAAGTAATGTACACAATTTTAATAAAGAAATAAAAATAAATTAACAGTGCCTGTCACTAGACTGCAAAAAGTTAATAAATCATTCAGGGGTCTTTGTGTGCGCTTCTACAATAAGGTCGCAAGCAAAATACAACAATAAGATATCATGCAGTTTAAATCTACTATTAAAAAATACTTAATTAAAAAGCTTATTGTAAGGTATCCGATTATATAACAGATAAGAATGCTTGGACTTAAGATGGTTGAGCCACTGGATAGGTGATTTCTTCTCAATTCATTATATATCAAAAATTATCTTGTTTCCATTATTATTGAATTATTATGTTATCGTTATAAGACCATAGTTTTTTTCTCTCTCTATTTTTAATGTATCAATCTGGTAATGACATACTTTTGTGAATGTCATGACTCTTATTAGAGCTGATGAGTTTCTTGCTCGTTCTTCTTTTTCGTTGGCAGGGCTTAAATATATTCTTAATAAACGAAGCTAATCCACCCAGAATTCTTAACTGGGCCCAGTTGGAGGTACCAATGCAGATTGGTGGTGCTAAAGCACCGGTATTCTTCTCAGTAATCCGTACTGGGCAGACGTGATCGATTCCAAAAAAAATTTACCACCCATCTTATTACTGTCCTTTGCGATCATCGCTTAACCTCGGCAATCACTTGTTTATACCTATAGGAGAGATATTGCCGATGTAACAGAAAAAAAACCAAAACAAAATAACAGAAAATCGAAAGTAGATCGATCCGGCCGAGCCCTCACACAATTGAAGCGATATCGCAAACCATGAGTTTTCAATTCGATGTCAACGAGATTTGTGAATCTCATGAATAAACAAACACTTGCGATTTTTCATACATTTGACGTGTCTGCGCGATTCGTTCGCTATCGCTCATAGAGCTTGAATTACATGAAGAGCAGAGAAATATTTAAAATTAATAATAAAAGTATATTTATTGTAACAAAAAGTTTTACAAGATTATTATGGACGATAACTCCGCTGTAGTTAAAAAATTGAACCAAATGAGAAGTCTCACTTATTAAAAATGTTATTGTCATCTTATACGAAAGAGACAGATAGCCTCTGTACTTGATATCTCATTTGGTTCACTTTTCAGCTGGGAATGCTTTATCTTGTTATATAGAACTAAGTCTAAGACGTATGATAATTGCTAGATTGTTATGATATCCAAAAAATAGTGTTTAACATATTTTTTCGCATAGACAAAAAAATAAAAAAAACCATAACATACTTCTCTTTTATCTCTTCACTGTCAGAATCTTCTAGCACGGAATTTTTTCATGTAGCATCGTGCGTGAGATAATGAAATATTGAAATATCCAGATTTATAATTTATTTTATAACGTAGAGACGTCGTTCGTCTTTCTATTAATCTTTAAATCTATCCGCATTACATTTCTTTGACCTTGCCTATAAAATAAATCATAAATATTAAATAATGCTAGATTTGGTGCTCGGTGTTAAAAGTCAAATTTCGGTCCTACCCTTTTGAAAATATTGTCAGATCTAGCACCAAAAGTACTGAGTTGGCAACACTGGACAATGGTGACAGAAGTCTTCACTAGCTATAGTCTTGAATGTCATAGGATATAATTGGTAGAGTAACCCACTAAAATTAGTCTATTTGTGCCCAAACTCTGTGTAGGACCAAAAAGACAATAGGACATATTGTATATTTTCTTGATCGTATTCTCGAAAAAATCTACATTAAATTATTAATTGACATTGTCATCCTACATTAAATAATTAGTAATTAAAGTCAAAACTTACTTATCACTATTATTCTTCATTACATAGTAGAAAACAAAGTCACTTTCTTTGTCCCTATATCCCTATGTAAGCTTAAATGTTTAAAACTACGCAACGGATTTTGATGTGGTTTTTGATAGGGTGATTCAATAGGAGGGTTTTATGTATAATACAAGACCACGCGGGCGAGTCCGCTATCGGAAAGCGAGTCATCGATAAAATGTCATTATCGTTCTAAATAAATCTCATACGAAATAAATGGTTTGATTTTTATTAAGGCATATTTAATTTCAGGTGTTAATAAAAATATTCAAATGTCCTATAGTACTAAATTAATGTCAGGAAAAAACAGCTTAACCATAATCTAGAAATATTTTGCCTGTAATTGTATCACAAACAATATGAAGTCCAGAGGCGGGTTAGCAAACTTGGCCGCCCTAGAACATGTATAAGTACATCAGCCCCTTTTAAGCCTATGCACTTGAATTTAGTATTGTGACAACATTTATTGAATTTTATTCAAAAACTTTAATTGTGTTTATGAAGTCATAAAGTTTAGGTAAAATTGTTCAATTGCATTATCTTAGGCTGATTCAAACTAATCTTAAATTTGTTGTTTCAAATTAATAGCACTTTTTCTATTAATTATATTTAAAAAAACGAGGTTATGTGTCATTTGGGACTTATTCATCGCTTTACAAACATATTTTATTTAATGAAATGAAATAAAGTATAACAGAGTTAGCTCACTCTCTGTCTTATCCCACTCTCTGATATTCATTTGAGCTTCAAGAATGTTCTAAGCATTTGGGACAGGGTTTGTGGAAAAAGTCAGTCACTGAATGACATTAATGAGATCTTTCAATGAATCATTTCAATAATACGTAAGGAATGTTAAAGATACCCAATAACTGCATCACTAAATGCTGTAATTACTGTTCATGAATCATAATTCATTAACAACAATGACAACAGCCCATTATCTAATTTGCTAAATGCTATTATCATAATCAATAGCCCCGTTAAGTTCAATTAATTGATGAATGTTAACCCACGTATAAGCTGGCAACTATAACTGTTTCCGCTCAGTTTGTGGCTCGTATTGTGTACTCATGATGTTATTTTACCTTTATTCTGCTTAGATCGCTGGATTGCTCTCTTTGCTCTACCTCTATGGCTTCCTAAAAATTTGGCTGTATGACTTAGTTCCTTCGCCTGTCATATTAACGAAACTACTACTACCTCTATAGCTTCGGGTTCGACGCCATTTTAAATTGTGCAGCGATCGTGGAGAGTCGTTTCCAGAGGTCCTTCGCGTTTCAAAGATTGCCTACGGAAGCGCAATTTACGTGATTATTTGTTAATAAGTCATGTGTTAATTAATTGTACGTGAGTTTTCATGGATATTAGAATATTTTTCATTACGAGATATCTGTTGTGTTGCTAGTGATAACGTAAGTCTAAACGTGTTATTTTTGCCAACTTCGCCATGTTGAGTAACACGTAACGTGTTCTAAAATAAGTATTTTATTAATTTTAGTAATGTGCAGTTGAAGATAGTGGTTGGTATGGTGATATCACATGCTACAGACAACAATCAAGATGTCGAAAGAAGTAGCGGAAGAATATGCTTCGAGTCTATCGGACTTGACCGTCAACAGCAAACCTTTGATCAACATGCTGACTATACTCGCTGAGGAGAACATCGACCATGCTGGGGTTATCGTTGATACAGTGGAAAAGCATTTGGAGAAGGTGAATTTCAATTTTTAAAATTACACAGGAGGCAAATGCTGCCATGGTGACGTGAGGGATACGGGGAAAGTGTTCGTATAATGATGACGTACGCGTAATTGGCCTGTTTTACGTGTTTACTATGATGCTGTGACTAATCTGACCTCGTTTGTAACCAGTCTACAACAGGTATCTCCATTTGCTTCACTTTTTTTCGCTATACCTTTTTTTATATGATATTAACTATCCTCTCACCTCTTGTAATAGTGATACAGAAAAATGCATTAATAACTATACTACAAAAAATCAAGTTTTGTTGTTTCATAGTTACTATTATTGTCCTAGTATGTTAGTATTATTATGACAATTGTTTATAGGTACAATATTTACATTTTTTTTTATTATTGGAGATACCTGTTTGATATGAAATGTGTTACAATATTTCAATTTCAAAAATGTACCTTCATGGTATGTAAATTATTGACATCAAATCGGTTTTGTATAAAAACTTGTCAAAAATAAAGGTATTAAAAACTGAGTTTTTATTTATTTTATGCATGGCCAATTAAAAATTTGATACAATAAACTATTGTCTTTTTCTTCCTGCTCCAAGAATAGTTTTTTTTTTGAGTTATTAAAGCATGTTGCAAACCGAAGTTTTTGGAGCGGTTGATCATCAAGAATGGACATGGTCAGCCGAAGGTTTGGAACTAGAAAATATTTTTCATCTATGCAGGTGCATCCAGATGTCAAGCTGCCTGTTCTCTATTTAGTTGATTCCATCATCAAGAATGTTGGAGGAGCTTATATGCAGAAATTTGCTCAAAGCATTGTTAACATGTTCACACGGACTTTCAAGCAGGTAAGGAGCATAAAATAAATTATCAAATTAATATTTTTTATGATGAATTTTTTAAATGTTTTGTTTTGGCTACAGGTTGATGAAAAGGTGCGGTCACAAATGTTCAAACTACGTGAAACGTGGCATGATGTGTTCCCTGCCACAAAGTTGTACCAGTTGGATGTGAAAGTGAATTTAATTGATCCTGCATGGCCAATCCAAGCACAGCCGCACCAGTCAAACATCCATGTAAATCCAAATTTTCTGAAAAAGGTGTTTTTTTAGTTGATTATGTTCTTTTTTTGAGCTTAGCAGATGGTTAAATTAAAGAAGTATTTTAGTATGTAGTATAAGCTAATGCTCAATATAGTCTAGTATGAGAGATTGTCCTCAGTATTGAGTTATCCATTGTCCTGGAACAAAGGTAGATAAATTGATTAATAGTAAAGTAAAAAAAAATTGATCATTAAATAGAAGCTTTGTTCTCAGAATGCTCCAACCACCAGTGCTACTCCAGTTCTTACTGAGGAGGATGAAAAGATGCGAAGCATCCTAGCCAAGAAAGAGCAAGAACTCCTCATGCTGCAAAGAAAAAAGATAGAAATGGAATTAGAGCAGACGAGGAGGCAACTTGAGTATGCTGAAAAAAATGCTAAAAAGGTATGTTCCCTTGTTATTTTGTTCGTAAAGTTTTAACACATATTATAAAATGTATAATTGATATATTTGTAATGAGAATCTACCATTAAGATGTTTTTTAACTTATTTTATGCCTAAAATTTTACATGCATTGCAAGTTATCCATAGATTTTGAAACACTAGTTTTTAAAATAGAGGTTTGATAATGATATTCTAGAGTTGGCGATAAGTAATGAGTTCGGAATTCATAAAAGGTATTGTGTGCTGCAATTACTATCATCCTTAGAAACTTACATTTGATTTTATTTTATAATGTCATAAATGTCTGCAATTCTCTACAGTGTAGTCCTTTTTGTACAACTTCACATATAACCATTCATTTTTAGCAATGTAACTACACATAACTGTCAGGGTTTTAATGACAAGTGTTGATGTGCTTACATACAAAAGAAGTGACCCTTGCTTATGCATTGCGGATTAATGCGACTGTTTATTTTATGACAGTTCCTAATTTGCAAGTGAAGTAAGTGCATGTACTAATATTGCTAAGCGATAAAGTTTCTCTATTAAAGTGTTGTATTATAATGTGTAGAAACGTTATTTATGTACATTTCTTTTCATTCTTACTCTGTATGCATATGCGAAATAAATAAATAATTTATTAGCGGAGTACATCAGATATCTTGAATTTATGATGAAAATGTAATTGACCATATGTCTGGAAGTGCATATGCTAGAGTAGGGCTTATTCTGTTTAACCACCCTGAACGGGGTGGATAGATGGAAGTCGCTTTTTGAATGTTCTTCGGATTTTTAACCCCTAGTACAGTGGAATAAAATTGTCTACTACACAAAAGCTTCTATCGTGTATTTATAAAAAACACATTTTCGTTAAACAAAATAAATCATTTCTTTTTTTGTAATGTTAGGTACCAACATTACAAAGTATGGCTGGGTTTATACGTTTTTTAAACGACTGTATTCCACCGATTCCTGTCATCCATTCCGTTCATGGTGGATAGATAAACACGCGTTTCCGAGTAACCACCTTAGGTTTCAGGGTGGATAAACGAAATAAGCCTAGAGTAGTAGTGCCTAGATCGAAAATGACGCGAAGTATTGCGACATAGTTCCAACGTTGAGGAGCGCTCGCGCGGTACTGAGCTCAGACGGCCGCTGCATCGTATTTTGTAGTGATTTTGCGTTAACATTTATCGTTTTTATTGAAATAATATTATAAATTTATGCTTTAAAAATATCTTTGTTCCTTATGAAATAGTCATTAATCTGGCGTAAATTTTGGTAAATAATATTGTTGTGGCTAGGAGAAATTCAAAGTTAACTTCAAGCGATTTTTGATGTTTTTTGGTTTATAATATGTTTTTTTTTTCTATATTTAATCAGTGCTATTTCAAAATTTCGACGCTACTGCATACTTTACGACTATATAAGAGATATCATTCTATTTTTTTTATTTCGTTTGTTAAGAACAGTAGCTTAATCCAGGAGCTCAAAAAAAGGGACTGCGCATTTTATGAAAATCTTTCTCTGGTATTTTGGGTTTAATTAAAAAGATGAACAAAATTTCCAAAATCTTCTACAACAGGAATTATTCTTCATTATTCAACAATTCAAAATTGTTAATTTCGAGAAAAATAACGCACAAATTACAGTTGAGATGTAATATGGCTCTTAAATGTTACTCTTTTGATAATTCAAAGAAGGATTATAGTAAAAAATAAACAAAAATTAGATTAAAGGAACTGAGACTTCTGAGATAACATATGTTATAAAACAAGTATTTCTGCGTACTTGCGAGTTATAACAGGAAAAATCGATCAAAATAAATAAAAGAAGAAAGATTCAAACTATATAGTTCATAACAAACGTACATATAATGATATACAATATCAACATATGCACATGTATACTAAAAAAAGTATATTCTAGTTATTTTTGTTGGAAAGCTTTTTTAGGGAGATAAAATTTTGTATTCATAGGTCCACTAACCAGTTGAAAGTAGCCAGGTTGCAAGTTCCCTATAATAACAATATGGCCAACTTTGATGCCGCATAAAGTGCCATCCATACCTGCTTCTCATAAATTTCTTTCTTTCTTTTGATATACTGTTTTTTCACTTATTGTTGATTTTATTTAAATGTCATACAATATGTCCTCATTTGTAACAAATTTGGATTTGTATTCCACTCTCTAATCACGTGGTTATTAATAGTGTATCTCTTTATAATATCCTATCTAGTCCAAAGTATTGGCAGTATATCCAAGAAATTGTCGTGTGGTCAACATAAATTATTACACTAGAATTCACATTCGTTAGAATGCAAATTGCCTGGCCAAAATATATAAATATTGATTTAAACTATTTTTAATGTTACCACCAAGGAAAATGTTCCGATAATCTAGAAGTAGATGTGCATAAATCGAGTTCTAATATAAATAAATATAAATGAATTTTAAGATATATTATTATTAACTGAAAGAGTCTTACAAAACAAAATTAGCGGCTATAGTCAAGGAACTCTTCCAAAACGAAGAAAAATGTGAATTAAGTTAGCTTTTGGTTGACGTCAATTGTCCGATTATATTTATGATATAAGATATATCTTATTATGCTGTATGTATTATATGTCTATTTCTTCACGCCCTATCCCTTGCGGGGTCGGCGGGGTCATTACTCTTTTCATACAAACTCGCCCGTTTTTATGACTTTTGACATCACTTGAGAGCATGCGATTGATTTGATCGTGACAAATGTATCGTGACCTCCTCGGCTTCTGCATCTTTCAACTGTCGCGTTTTATATCAGTTTTATCGTTCTCTCATCCCGCCTTTTTTTATCCCAACCAACTGAGCATGTTTCTGTGGATTTTTACACCGACGCTATCTTTCAAGTCTAGGGCACCGTCGATCCATTATCTCGAGTATGCCCACAGTTCCTTTCGTACTACTTACTCTATCAAAGGCTTTCTATAGATCCACAAAACGCAGCAAAGCTTCCGATTAACGGCCTTCTCTACGATGTTGAAGAGCGAGAAAACTTGATCCGTGGATCCCCTTCCATTTCTGAATTTATATTTGATTTTTTTATTGTAGCTATAACAAAAGACACAATGTGACATTCAAATTGACCATGCATCAATCTTTATGATCAGTTTGGAAGATTCATTTATAGCAGAATCCTACTCCATCTTTAACGAATTACTGTCTTCCAATTGGTTTTCAATTTCAAAATTTTCACTATAGCATCTAATACTTCTGTAGTTTTCAACCGAGTAAAATTTATGACTTGGACTTAGTGGTATTGTTTGTCCTCGCTACATATGTTTCGCTACGCATCCGAAGCGCGAAATAAATATTTCCAGAATGTACGACTGACATACACAAGAAATATCGGTAGTTGCAACTTATTTGGACATAATCCACAACTTCTTAATTAGCTAAGATCCCTACATCACTCAAGTCAAACCAAAATAGAGCGTTGATCTTTGTATTTCTTTAACATTTGCACAATTTAAAATTTGCTAACATGTAAGCGTTTGAATTACTATGTAATTCAAAAGTCTATATTAAAATCGATTTTTTCAACCTGTTAAAACTCAAAAGTATGCAGAGACAAGTAAAATATATGTTTGCATGAAATATCAGAATCACTTGTTTCTCATAATATACTTTTAAGAATTTCTGGAAATTAACCAAAATGTAATTTCTTCCATACAAAAATATAGTTTTTGGATAATTCTTTGAAGTAGTCATATAGAATAATATTTTCTGTTCGCGCTTCTAGAATTAACGTCCATGTTTTATTAAATTGGGGTTACGGAGCAACGCTGAGACTAATTATATTTTTGTCTTTACATTTTTAATATAATCAGAAAACATTTAAAATATGTGAAAATACAGCGTAGAATGTTCAGTTTACGATTACTGCACACAAAAGAACTATCGCTAAATCTAAGTTCTGAGATTGTTGTTTTTTGATACGATTTTTTACCGTAATGCAATATTAAATATGTTTATTTATCATTCTTTATATTGCTATGTCACTAATTAATTTTTGTGCAATCAACCCACATTAAAAAGTGTCATATTGCCATCTTTGAAACTAGTTGATTCAATTATTATTATAATACATTTTTTGACATTGATTAGCATAACTTGCGATAGATTACTAATGATAACTTGTGTTACTCCTTTGGCATACATATGCCATATTTTTTTAACTTCTTATTATTTATATTTAATGTAATATACTCTTAATTATTCGTTTCATGTATAATTTAAGATTGTTACTTTTATGTCTACATGTGCATGGCTTGGCAACCAATAATTAAGGCAGATTTTTAATTCAATATATAAAAAAGTTTGTATTTCTTGATTCTTACAAATTGTTTACACAATTTTAAATCTTGAATTCTCTGTATCGAACACAGATGGCTCCAGGAGTGAAGCCGGTTATCCCACCAACAACAATGCCGGTTGCGATGGTGAACCCTGTGGTAGCACCAATTGTGTCCACGGTGTCCCAAGTACCAGCTGATATTGCACCACCTGTCAACTTACCTGTAAAACAGCGGCTTGGTCCGGTAAGTTTAGTAATTCTTATATAAAAAGTTAGTGTTAACAATTCGGCTATGAGCATACTATTGTCTCAGGCGCAGCTTGAAGAACTCGAGAAACGTTTTGTCCAAACCCCCTCTTCTCTAGAAGCGTTTCTTCTTTGGTGAGGATTGTTACTCATTCACTTTTAGACTGTCAACTGCACGCCTCCATCTATTAAGTTAATCCAGTTGTTTTAATATTTTTGGGCTTGGTCTCCCTGCTGGATGCCAGACCCTTCCCCTGAGAGAGAAGGTGCATGGAGGGCGTTTAGTTGTTTATGGATATTTTCCCTATCTTTTTGGACTCTTTCTCCGTCCATCTTTCCTGCTACGGTCAGTAGTTCTAGCTTCGCTTTAATCTTAAATTTTTAATCCTTGTTATAATATATCTTGATATTTGTTCAAATATTACGAGCATTTTAAGGAAGAACATCGTATCCGCCATTTTGTGTATTTTACAGGAAAAGATCATTTTGAAAATTTCACTAAATGCTGTACAAGCGACTACCTATTTGATCTATATGTTAAGTTTTGAATTGGTACTTCAAATTCTTATACAGATGTTGCTTACGTTAAAACTGAGAATAATTATAGTTGAAAGTGTTGTCAAGTATGTCATTTACGATAATTGAGAAATATTTGTTAGAGATACCACAACAGTATTAATTATTATTAGTAAGACATATATTTTTTTAATTAGGAGACCCTTAGTTAGTTTATTGTCAGAGTAAATTCACGCCAATCATGTATCAGTACAAATTCATATTTCACAGAGGATTAGCAAACATACTATACCTTCTAAGAGTAAATATTACTCCCATGGAACATCGTACTAGGCTAACCTTTGCTAATTACTCAAATACCTGGGTATGGTATGGACTTTTGTGCAATTGGTTATTAATGACACTGTTACAGTTTAAAAGAACTACAGAAGTAAAAAATACAAATAAACGGAATCAATCATCTTCATCGGTCTCGGGTAACACATCCCTAGTGTTTTCATCACACGGTAATTCAATATATTCTTTAACGTAGGCGTCCGGTATGATACCTTGGTCACATATTTTCAAAAATGGGCTTACGAACAACTAAAAATAGCTCTAATGATCTTTATTTGTCATTTATATGATTATTTCCCTTTTGTCTTCTTCAGTCAAATTCTTTATTCTCACGCGTTCATCGCATTGGTCTTTTTTTCGTCTTTAATACTTTTCAAAACTTTTTCAGTCTTAATAATAAAAAAGGTTCAGCGTTGGAGTTCTTTCGTAACATCATGGATCAAATAATAGTTTCTATATAAATTGACCACATACTTAAATTCAGTACAAGTACAGTTATTGAAATTGAAAAAGTGGCGAATTAAATCTGTGTGGTTTTATTTCTGTCATTTTGGCTAGTATAGTGTAGAGAAGATTGTGAGTGGACCTAGCTAATTTATGAAGCATATTTATCAAAGTCGTAAATAAAGTTTAACATATTTCAATATGTGGATTAATACCTACATATAACTTAATATCGAAAAAAATATCACTGAGCTTAGTCTTTCAAAGGTCGATAAAACTATTCATACTTAAAATAATACGTAGTACATTTTCATTTAGCACGAGTAACATTAACAGAACTACAACTTAATTTTTTATTATATATATATTTTAAGTGCGTACTTGTACTTACAAGTGAAGCGTCTTCAATTCATCCTTGGGGTGTTGTCGAAATGTCGATGGATAAGACTTATGTTACGAATATTATAAAAAATTAAGTGGATAATAACGCTATTATCCACTATGAATACTACATTCGTTAAAATATTAGAAATAAATAGTTTTCATCATTTCTATTACCAACTTGTCAAGGTAATTTTCTATGGTTCCTATAATAAAATTAAAATCTAATTTAAATGGACATTAAAAGGTGATAATAATAACTAAAAGCAAAATGTATTAATTTATTTTCTATCTATTTTATTTATATATATTTCTTATTTCAAAATTCTAAAATAATTATCCTTATTTTTTACAGTGACGTTTACACAAGAGTATAATTATATTTTTTCATATATGTGCAAGAATAAGCCTAAAATTTTTCTTTGATTTACGGAGTGTTCCAACATAATTGGCATCAATGTCCAACTGTAAGCAGTGCCCCTTGCATTTTTAATTTATTCTTAACTCATTAAGTAACTTATATATCAGTATGTGTGTAAATAGGGACAAAATGCCATGATAGATAGATTCTTCGGATGTAAATACCTGGGTATGGTATGGACGTTTGTGCAACCAGTACAACCAGCAGTTTTCATAATAATTATTATTACTACATAATATTCATTTGCTATTAATGTTGTAAGACGATCGATTGCTTAATTACTGATAGGCCACTCGATGTTATTGCATTATCAACAGCTTGTAAAAAATATACGAGTATATCTATTATTTGTTATTTGGTAAACATATTTGGTAGAAACAAAAGAAAACGTTATCAATATATACAGGTAAACAAATTATCTATAATTTGTTTACATATACAGGTAAACAAATTATTTATAATTTGTTAAATAAATTATTAATAATTTGTTTACCTGTATTTTGTTTACCTGTATTGATAATATTTTTTTTTTTCATTTTCCGTTAGACCTTGGAATACGTAAACAATATATGGTTTTATAATCATAAATACATCTTATTAAAAAAAGATTATAAGATATTCAAGGACAAATTACGGATTATTTTTTATTTTGCGGAAGTTTGGATTGATATTATTCATAAAACCTATGATTGCGTCGGCAAGTGAGGGGTGTAATTTCAAAATCCTCTAAAACTTGTATTTGTGAAAATTAATTATTGCTAATGAAAGATACTGTGTGAATTTCTTTATTAAATACATCAATCATTTTACATGAAAAATTACAACTTTAATTTTAAATCTTTGAAATTAAAGGCATCGTTGCATTTCAAACTTCGCAAAAACTGCGAAGGCCAATCAGAGTACGTAATTTATACCACGTGACGCTTTAAATAGTATGGTACTATGGTCACAATAAATGAAATTCGCTTGTGAAGAACGATTTTTTTTTATAGTTTAATAAAGGGCGAAGTATTATGAAACATTCTAAATTGTAATTCTGAACTCTCGTGAAAAAAACAAATTGTAACAACAAAGTCTTACAGCTCCTTGTTTTAAGTAATTATGACAAATCCGAGTAGAGTTCCACCTAAGACTAATATACCAAGAAGCGTCGAAGTAAACTTTGTAACCAAACTACTTGAGTAACATTTTGGAAATTATTGGCGAAATTTACTTAATTGAATTGTACAAAAGCATCGAAGAAAGAGTGACAATATATGTATAATAAATGCACACATTTTAATAAAAACCGTATTAAACTTTTGTTAATTTACGAGTAATAAAAAATTATATAACCGAATATTGAAATTTCGTTATTTGAAAAATGATTTTATAATGTGTGTAAATATTTTCGTAATGACGTGTTCTTTTAGGTTAAAACTATGAATGCGCAGTATTCAAAAGTATTCGCTACAACGATTATTTCACACCAAAATTAGTTAAAACTATTTTAGTTTTATGTAATAAGATGCTCTGAACCCAGGTGCCTAATACAGAAAAGTAAACAGTAACTTTTAAAAGATTTTTTCCGAAAAGTAAATGTGTACAATATATATCAGCTTTTCAATATTTTACCAAGAACGTTTTAGTAGGTTTTGAAAGTAAACCATTCAATTCTCAACGGCCTCACCCTCGTCCTCATTAAATCTACATTTAATATATCGTAGGCTGTTTGAGTACCATTCCTAACCTCGAGCAGTCTCGATGCGGAGGGTAGTAATCGGACTACGCAGTGAAAACCTTGATACTTTCTGGATATGGCACATTCCATTAAACGATTACGGCGGATTATGAATAATGTCTATACTAACCATATTTTTGTCATTCGTGAGTTTATAGTATAGAAACTATTAGCAATTGCCGATGTCCTATCGATTGTCTTTACAATTGGTTTAATGATATTTTCTACTTTCCTTTTTGTTCTTCTTTTTTTTTTAGGAAGGTCGATGATTATTTGATATTTTAGGATTATAGACTAGCACTTAAGAGAAATGTGATCATTTCAGGTTTCGAGTATATATTCTTATTTGAATTGCCATAATTTGTAATAAGATTGCTAAATGTTCAAATTTAGTTACGGATTGGTGTTTCATTTTAAAAAAAGATATATATTTATATTCTTTGGTCAGTTTTGTTGCGTGTGCTTAGCCAAAATTTTTCGACCAATATTTTGGTAATGATGAAATATTTGATAGCCTACAGTTAGAGTGAGATGTCATTCTACAGACTTTATTTTTTACACGTTAGTGTCAGGTCTCCCGAATTCCAGGTTATCTGTCTGATACAGTGCGAGCTACACTTCCGTTTTTAGGGATAAGTAGGGTTTCCAATCTAATACCGAGATCTCGGTATTGCGATATCCCGCACCTTTTTGCAATTCCGTCTTGCGAGATTACATGTGTGGGAACCGCGAGAATTGCGGGACTAGAGAAAACATGCAAAGGACCTTTCGAGAGGCCGATCGCTCGGTAACTGACAGCTCACTGACAGACAAAATGACTGAACTAAATAATTAAAGCCATTATTACTTTGTCAACATTCAGTTGTAAACGTTATTTGGTTTATTTTTTCAGTATTTATTTCAGTTTACAGTGACAAATAAATGGCCTAATTAGATTAATCTCATGCTAATAGTAAAACTTAATTTATATAAATGGTAATATTTTCTAAATGTAAGATTCCGAAATCCAATCAAGCCGCAGGATTGGAAGCTTAGGGATAAGTGTTGGCGTTACGTTAAACTGTCTTGAAGAAATTTATTCGAACCCTTATATTGATCACGTAATCTATTGCCGACGTATGACGATAACAATTGTTTTCAGCCTGTGAACAAAGCTGGTGGTCGCATCGCGCCAGTGAGCGGTGCCCTCGCATCCGCTAGACGCGATCCACGCCTCGCTCGACTAGTCGCCCCTCCCACTACACCAGTCGCCCCGCAACCTATCGCACCCAACGTATTCGATATCAAACCTCTCGAGCGGGTCACTAATCGCAAAAACGTTATCACCATCGATGTCCGCCCCGATGCTCCGCCCGTGCGACATCCGCGCGATCCCCGTCGCCGTGATCCGCGTCTTAACAAACGTGATGACCGCCAACGGCGGCCACCGCGGCAACGCCCTGAAGGACAACCGGAAACGCACTCCATCCTCGAACGCCTCCCTGAAATAAAAAGTATCGCTAAACTCCCGCCGATACCCAAAATACGGCGAGAGCGAGAACCAGATGAGGAGCAAGCCGTTGTTCCTAAAAAGAAAAAAGATACTCGCGATGAAAGAAAGAAAAAAAAGGACAAGGACAGTGGCTCTAACACCTTCTCGCCCGAAAAGAAAGTCCGATCGCCGAAAGATAAGGAAGTCAAAGAGAAAGAAGTTCCAAAAGAAACAAAAGATAAGGAAAAGGAGACTCCAAAAGAGCAGAGGGAAAAACGCCGGCGCGAACGGCGGCTGGAACCGGAACCGGAGGCGCCGGCGCCCGTACCTGAGGAGGTCGCCTTCAAGGAGCTCAAAAATTATCGCAAGGATCGTTGCTACATGCGCCGCAACCGGGGTAAATCGGAGAGCCCCGAGCGGCCTGCTGCCGACGTCAATAAGGAAGCAGAAGCGTCAAGTAAGATATCAATCCATGCTAACAGAATTCGAGGGTAGGACACATATGTGATATTAGATTTAAGAGGGAACATTTAAGACTGACTCTTCTGTGATAATAAAGTATTTAACAACTCTTGGGAGTATTATATTGCACTGACGAACTCGTTATTATACCCTTTAGTGTTAAGATTCGATGATGTCGCGTGTAATATTTAATTAACTTTTTTAAATATCCAAACTAGCATAATCCACAAGTTCGATAATGATACACTCGTCATTGCTATTTGCAAGTTATTTTAAAGGATTTTTTTTTTCCATAAAGGTGTGATATCATATCAAAAATTAATAAGTTCTTGCAACTACTCGCAGAAATATTTTAGTATTTACTTTCCTAGTAATAAGAGTGACTTTTGAACGAGGCATATCATGGCAAAATTATCAGCCAATGAGTGACCAGCTTGATAGTGCCGTCGGTAATGTTGGAAGAAGTCGATTGTAAGATACGAGTCCATTGATTTTCATAGGTGAAATCTCAGGTTATATTTAGTGTACGTTGGTATTTAACTAGTAACTAAAAAGTCCGACCTTCAGACAAGTTTTTTGAATCAAACACCATGATATGCAATGACCGAGTTATCAACCGATGAGAGACCTGTTTGGGACTGACGACAGTGACGGAAGAAATCATGTCTTCGGCGTGTAAGAGCTTAATATAAGTTGGTTATTTTATTTATGAAAATCTCGGGTTACATTTAGCGTATGCAGTAGAGGTTATAATTCATATTGGAGCAGATAGTTTAGAAGCTTCATGATTAAAATCATTGATTTGCTAGCTTTTCGGGAGATCAGCTGTTTCAACGAACGTCTCGTGTCGCTGAGTTATGACAACGAATACATGTGCGTAATAATTGTCTTAAACTTAATTGTCTTTGCGCGCACCACGTTATGTCATAAAATAACCGAATGTCATATTTTTCAAAATGTTTTTATTCCAGACTAATACTTTCGAAAAACCAAATATAACAATAACTTTGCAATTCTTGAATTTATAAATAAGATGTATAATTAACAAATGATTTTTCGAAATTTTGTCTTTATTAGATTGTTCATAACAATAAACATACCATTAGTACTCATTTACATATTCGGTATATTGTTTGATAACTCTACGGAACGTTGTGTTATTTGGATTTCTCCAATGATTATTTTAAATTTTTATATTCCTTTCGTGTTCTCATTTGTTTTATCTATTATTGCTTATATAACAAATTACTGTTTTACAACTATGGGTCCAGACATTTTTGTATTCAAAATATTTTGCTTGACTAAATAAATTGTAAAGTGGTTTGACTTCGAACACTTTTGAATTTAGTTAGACAAAGTTATTCAGATATCTTATTTAAACTGATATCATAAATTAGATTTTATGGGTGCAAAATATCATTATAAAAGGATAAAATGGAAATTAACATTACAATTATGAAACTTCGCCTGCGATTAACGAGTCGCTAGGCTTAGGACGTGATATTTGACATATTTTGCCCCTTGTACGATTGAAATTCTTAAATTTTGCTTCTTCGAGTAGATTGGAATATTGACACGATAAGAAAAATCAGCACGCCTATTGTTCGCCTTTCGATTTGATAGTAAAAATAAACATCTTTTAACGACACGTGCGGATACGTCTAGATCAACATATAATCGGCACGTTACCATTTATGAAAGTTAGAATCACGTCTAATGAATAATTTCTCGAATCGTTATGTATAAGTAGCTTACTCGACGTAGATTATCGGGATCACAAATTAATTTGTGTCAAGATTTTACAGACTTTATTTATACAAGGTTAGTTGATAAACATCAGCAACCTCTCAGTACTATGTTGATCTAAAAGTTTTAAATTAATAATACCGGTCAAGTTCGAGTCGGGTATTTTCATAAATTGATGACACCCACCAATTTGTCCTTTGTTCTTCGGGTGGATATGATTCCCTTACCTTATTCTTCTATTGCTTTCCACGAAGGAAAAATTTGCAAGCAATAAAATAACCTTTTGATCGTGAATATATGCAAACTTTTAGAATATATAATCTAATCTAAAACTATTTTTTTTGACAAAATATTTATAGTGTTGCTGTTTTTCGATTGCCTTATTTTTCTGAGATAACTAACTTGAAAAATGGAACTTCCTTATGTGACTCCAAACACGTTTCATATATTTGCAAATGTATCTAGAGTGCTCTATTTTAGTGGCAATAATATCCTTTTTAATAAACCTAATTATATCACATATAAAATCTATAACAAAAGTATCGTTACTTTAATTGCGTTTCTATCTTACATGCCGAGACATGGTTACGTCTACAAGAAAAGCCATTTTAGTTGCAATAACGTGTTAGCTTCAAACATACTTCTCTGAAGTGAGGAGATTAACAGATGAATAATTCTAATGTTGAAAAACCTTATTATACCTATTTAGAAAAGCATATTAATGTAACTATGTTTAGTCTTTTATCATAATATACATAAGATTGAGTAGTTGCAAGTAAACTTTTCGTTTTATTGCTTTCATTTACGATAATAACATTAAGATTTGATGTCACATCGTTATGATCAGTCAATTACGCTTTCTCCAAGTTAAAAAATCAATTTGCTACACAACAGTCTATTCGGGATTTTCCATAACAAGTATGAGTTGTGATTCAAGTGAGAATTAACACTGGGTTAAAATATCGTGTACGTGCACTCGGTAGCGAAAGGGGTTACTACTAAAAACACTGAGTTTCTGCAATCAAATTTGAGTTTCACCATCAACAGATTAAAGTAGATTGCAGAAATTGTTTTTTAGTAAACTGATGTGCTGTATTCGTATAATTGATATATGAATCAAAAATTCCATTTTGCACGAAGTGTTCACTGTGTATTATAATGATGTGAGGCACGAAACCACATTTGGGTAAGGTAAAAGTTAAGATCGGTAGATGTGTTGATGTCGATCAAGATAAAATGAAGATAAGAGTGTCGTTTTGCAGGTGTAGGCGATGTTGTTGTGGAGAATAAGGACGTTGACCTTAGAGTGTTACATCCAGTAGTGGCTGAACCGAAAGCGGCCCCCGTTGCCCAAAAGAGATCATCCACAGAACTACTTGACGGCAAACCTAAGAAGACTAAAATTGATAAGTTTGATGTGTTAGTATTTTCTTATCCATAGTTGCTTTGAATATACATTAAAATGATACATTTTACATAATTCACACTCATTACTCTTTACAGTTTGTTTGGTAACGAAGATGTTGATCTTCGCCAACTACCGCAAGTTGAAGAATTAACAGCGCCTCCACCTCCATCACTGGACTCTACCAATACGGAAGCAATCCCAGCAGAGGATGACAAAGAACCCTCACCGGAATCATCACCTAAGAAAGATTGGCATGATGTAAAGGAAAAGGATGAGGATAATAGAAAGACCCCTTCAAAATTAGATTTGGTTAGAGCTAAATTGGCTGAAGCTACTAAAGGAAAAGATCGCCTTGGACGCCCGTTATTGTTTAGCAAATCACCAAGTATGTATAAATGTGCATTATAAATATTGTCATAATTTTAATTAAATAATAAATCATGATGCTAGTTTATATTAAATTATAATAATTTTACTTATATTTCAGGTATAGAAAGAGAACGAAGACGTACATTGAGTACAGAAGACACAGACTTGAGGGTAGAGAATGGCGAAGATTTCGATGCAGAAGATCATAAAAAGTCCATATCTATAATTATGAGTCAGGCTAAAGAACAGTTTACGGACGGTCAACTAGATAAGAATCAGTACAACACTCTAATGTATCAAGTGCTACAACTCAACGAGAAATTAAAACTTAAAGAGGCTAAGCAGAGGGAATCATTGGAAGTATCAAAACGAAAACTCAAAGCTCAAATTCAAGAAGACAATCACAAGACACCTAGTCCAAAGACGTCCCCTAATACATTTGGTGATATCGATGAAAGAATCACACCATCCGCATTTTTTGATACTCCTCCGGATAATCAAAGCTATATGGCAACTGATTCAGATATGAGAGTAAACTCAATGCCCCTGTTAGATACAATCGATGGACCCAAACACGGTCTGTTGCCTATCCCGCCAGCGATACCACAGATGTTCGGTCCATTCCCTCCTGCTTGGAGAGGGCCGCGACCACGAACGGACGAGTATGTGCCTAGAAGATTCCGAGCACCAGGTCCACCGTTCTTTAGAGGAAAGTTTGATAAGCGAGGTGGCGTTTGGCCGCCGTTTGAACCTCGCCCAGCTTTACCTCCTCTGCCAACACCTAAAATTGGAATGTGCCAAGGACAGTGTCCTCTTCAACCTTATGAAAGAATTTCTTCTCCACCACCGCTTGGTGTCACCAGCGTTATCGTACCACCCACCGATTTCAATGTCCTGGAATATATTGACCAAGATCCTTTCAAAACTATACAGATCGATGGTATTCCTCGAGAGATAAGATTTTATGGAGATACCGCAATTATTATGATGGATTGGGACGATCCACGCGAAATAAGGTTTTTACCTGGATGTAGAAGGGTCACGTTCGACAACAAGGACTCTATAGTTTTATCTTTTAATGAGGGATACAAAAAGGTTGAAATCGATGACCAAGTGTTTGATATTAAATTTGGTGCTCCAACTAGAGAGCTGTACATAAACGGGAGGTGGTTTGAGTGTTTCTTTGGCGGACAACCTTTAGGTGTCATCATTGACGGAAAGCCTAGGTTGGTGCATTTAGAAGGACCGCTACCTCAAGTCGACATAAGTAAGACAAAACGGACTGATCTGGTTGCCGGAAAAATCAACCTTATAGTAAATGCTGTTCACATATGCCCGGTGTATTTGGACGCTAAAGTGCAGAAGTTCCAGATCGATGGCAAATTCTTTACTCTTCGTTTTGTGGACTCATTTAGGACAGTCTTGATAAACGAGCAGCCTTTCAAGGTAGAGTTTGGTGATTTGCCAAGACCAATACGCGTGGGTGACGTGAAATATTTTATTAGATTTTCGGCGCTGCCAAAATACGTAAAGCCTGGTTTGTCAAAAATCGCGAATATGGAAGGGTCGTCGGTGCTGTCGCCACAGGAACCGGTAGTCAGCTTTGAGAATATTCACGACCAGAATTCCATGGAGACTGACGTAGAAATGCCGCCCAGACCGGTCAAGACTCCTAGTCCAGAGGCTACTCCAGAGAAAGGTATTTTTTTACTATACGCTTGTAAACAGAGTCAAAGTATAAGCCATAACTTTAATATACATATTTTCCTTTTAACATTACTCTAATCTTTCTACAAATGCTATGGATACAATAAACTTTTGCGATATTTAACATCAAACTTTTTTTTATAGGACTCGAAATCCTGGCAAGTGTAATGCCTTCGACCATGGCACCAGCTTCAGCATCCGAGTATAGTTCTGCAGAACCTCTCTTTGCCATGCCAGAAAAGATTCCAGGCCTAGAAACTCCCTCCGAAGAAAAACCTCCCGAAAATATCCTGCCCATACTTGGCAATATCAATGTGAACGACTTGTTCGCTAAGCTAGTAGCGACGGGCATCGTTCAAGTACCGAATGAACCCAAAAAAGAGGAGAAAGCAGAACCAAAGACTGAAGAAGTAATGAAACCTAAGCCTAAAGAAGATAAGAATGTCATACACAGAGTTGATCTTTTGAAGCCAGAAACTTTGAGAGTGTAAGTATTATTATATTTTATTACTTGTTTATTTCTGAAACTTATTTTGTTTTAGAACTTTTTTAATTTTTTGTGCAGTTTTGATTAATAAATATATAAATTGTGTATGAAGTTACCTAAAGTTTACAAACAACCAAACCTAAACCTAACAGGACTGACAAATTTGTAGCTTAAATACAGTAAAAAATTATACAAATATTTCTTTCTGCTGTTTGGGTGGATTGCGTGAACATTGATGAAAATACACTCTGTAGTAAACAATTTGACAGTCCTGTTTGGTGTGTGGTCAGCGGTTAGAACAGCCGCTCGGATTGCGAAAGGTCCTGAGTTCGAGTCCCGTCTCAAAGTGCCAGGGACAAAGTGGTTTATTTAAGCATTTTTAAAAGCAGTAATATTTTTGTTATATTAATATGGTGTGTTTAATCTAACTACAACTTAAAATCTCAAAGTTTAGGTTTCTAAGACGAACAATACTTTATATAAACCATAAACTGAACTGTAGCATTCACTATCTGATTCTGACTACATGCATTTAAATCTGATTTATTTAATCTCCAAATTAGTTTGACTTTTTTATGGCAACAAGTTGTAAATATCAAAAATAGCACTAATTCATATATATATTAACGTTTTTTACGTTGTTATATCGATAGTTGGAACTTACATTGCATATTAATTGTTTAAAAAAATATGAGCTCCAGTTATTCATATTAAGGGAGGCCGATTACCAAAGAGTAATCGGTTGCAATTGTGTCTCCATAATTGATTTTAAGTATGTGTATATATCGACCTATTGCTTACAAAATCTATATTTTCCAGAAAGCAACCAGGCCTAGTAGTAAAACTGTACGGCGGCATGCAATGCTCCGGATGCGGGACGCGTTTCCCTCCGGAGCACACTGTGCGGTATTCCCAACATTTGGACTGGCACTTCAGACAAAACAGAAGGGACAGGGACTCCGCGCGAAGGGCACATTCTAGACACTGGCACTACGATCTATCTGATTGGCTGCAGTACGAAGAGGTCGAAGATCTGGAAGAAAGAGGTTAGTAGCGTGGAAGTTTATTTTATTTTTAACAGACTTCAAAAAAGGAGGTTTTCAGTTTGACTTGTATGAATGGGAGCGCGATTATTTCGCGTTTGGCTGAACCGATTTAAAAAATAGAAAGTTCAGTAGAGTGTTATCACGCAAGTGTAGTAATCTATATTGTGCAAATTAACTTTTTAAGTGAGGCCTGAAATGTATTTCTTCTTATGATATAATCATGATAATAGTGAAAAGTTAAATAAAAACTTGACCCACTAAGTCAAATTGTGTTTGACACAAGTTGTTACGAATCCCCCCATACAAAAAAGGGAGTGTCCACTGAACATTCTCTATAATAGATATCAATTACTATAATAATAACCACTGTATTAAAATTTTAATACATGATTTTATTTATTATAGAAAAGAGTTGGTTTGAAACCGGCGGGGCTGAAGAAGGCGGGGCGATCTCTACCGGAGGCCTGCCAGGGCTAGGTGACGGGGACGAGGTCCCGAGCGTGGCGGCCGGAGCGCCCGCCGCCCATGATGTCAGGTCAGGTTTCCGCTATTTGATTTGAAACTCTTATTTTCAGTGTAATAATTTGAGTGAAGTCTGTATTGCTAATTTAAAACGTGTTTGCTTTAGCTGTTGTTACAATAAAATGTTATTAATGTATTACCGCTTTTACCTGATTAGTTGTCGTTAACGAAGAACGAGACACCAGCAGATGAGTCATTAGATGATGTGGTATCAGTGGAAAAGTTTGAAGAAGCTATAGAGATCAAGGACGTGGATGAAGATACCAATTCACAGTCCGACAGCGAGTCTGTAGTGGAGGTTGTTGAACCGATGATCGAGGAACCAGAACCGGTTGAAGTGAGTATATAATCAATGGTTTACAATTAATGATGTATGTTTTCATTATTATTCATTTTCGGTTTATCGTCATTCCCAGCCTTAATGGCGTCGACTTCCCGTGAATAAAAAACAAGGAAAATGGCCTACACAAGGAGGAACTCATAATTATAAATATTATTAATTCGTCGTGCGGTTACTTTGCTTAGTAATCCATCCGATTTTACTGTGCACGTTTATGAAATAACAAGTATTCCGCCAGCGGCTTCGCTGGCGTGGTCTTGTATTATACATAAAAACTTACCTTTTTAATCACCCTATCTATGAAAAAAAAACCGCATCAAAATCCTTTGCGTAATTTTATAGATTTAAGCATACATAGGGAGAGAGAAAGCGACTTTGTTTTATACTATGTAGTAATGTTTTACATGATTAAAAAAATAAGCAAGAGAAACTACAAACGCAACTGAAAATAGGCATTTTTTATTCACTCATTTTTAGAATAAACTATAGAAGAAACAAAACACAGTAGTTAAATTACTGGTTCAACCACGATTTATATTATATTTATAATGGGTTTTTATTGACTTCTTTTTCCTACGGGCGTCTCCACAACTCCACGTCAAAATTGCGCCTGTTTTACCAGGGGTGTGACCGCCTAGACAATTCTAGCCATCTCAACGACGTTATGGCGATATTGCGTTTCATTTCATTTTTTGACATGTCTTTTGATCGATAAATTTAGGATAAAAATACTTATAAGGTAACATTTCTGTCAAATCTACAATCATCATTCTTTATCGTTCGTTCGTTGTTTATAAAATGTACGTTAAAGTAGTAAAATGATAAGAAATATCGACTTAACACCGACAAGATGTATCCTTTGACTAGACTCATAGCTAGAGTTAGACGGTCGCATCACTGTAATGTTTTTTTATGTTATAATATTTCCATACAGATACAGTTTGCGAGTATTTTAATGTTAATATAATAATTATTTATCTAAAGATCGACGAAGGTGATGAAGATGACGTTATATACAAAGCGGAGCCAGTAGAGGAGGTGTTGGTTGAGGATGACGCGGACACGGATGATGAGACGGTCGCCACACGGGCTGAACGCGATCGTCTCGCTCAGATAGACTTCTCCAAGATCAAGGTCAAGCAGGAGCCCATAGATCCAGGTCAGTACATCATCACTCTGGTTCGATTCCCAGTCAGGTCAACGTATAAAATGGATTTTTCTATATTGTTTCGGGTCTGGACGTTGGAAACTCACATGATGATGTCGTCCAATATTTTTTCATTATTAGAATACTGTTCGGTTTAACCTTTACCGTACTGGATATTCGGCCTACTTACTCTGTTTGCCTTCCATTGTTTTGCCGCGTAAACAGGTTTAAAAACAAACGGTGATTTGAAGTTTAATTGTTTTATTTTATTAGATTTATTAAACACATTTTTCGTAAGATTTCTTTGACTAATAGTCGGTCAGTTGCACAAACGTTCATTAAGGTTTAATGTCGTGTTTAAGCTCTTAATGAATGTCAAATTTGTATGGGTAATGTCGCTTTAGCCTAATGAAAATTTGTATGGACGTTTGTGCAACTGGTTGAGTATAATTTAAATCTCAGATAAGTTTTGTTTATTAGTCTGTATTATACGGTGTCGAGTAGCCAAGAAAATAGAAATACAATGTACTAACATAACTTTTTTGGTGAACAGATGATGAGCCAGTGATCACCGCTGAGGAGTCGTCTCCCCCTCCTGTTGTGGATACCACGCAGGCTTCGGTCCAATCGTCTTTAGACGGCAACACACAGTTGGAAGTGCCCACAGTACGAGCTCCGCCAACCACTATCAGGATCAATATCTCCAAAACCGTCCCCACTTTACCGGAACGTAGACAAGAAGACGAGACAGACGAGCCCCCGCCACCTGGCGAGGAACCAGAACTGGAGTACACCCTGAAACCGTCACTCGTAGGGCTACATTTAAGTAGACAACCGCCCGTTCAACGTGGATCTGAGCTTTCTGGACTATGCTCTATTATGTAATGCGTTACGCTCCTTTGTATGGCGACCCCCCCTCACACTCCATGGGAATATATTCGTAAAAATATTGCCTCTTCCCAGAAACTATAAGTGAAGTTAGCGATGTGTAAATGTTATAACTGATAAAGTGTGAAGTTTCTCGTTAATTTTGACTTCACTGTTTATTTGTGTGTTGCGTTATGTATATAGAGAACGTTTAGTGATGTATGAACACTATTTAAAGTATTTCGTCGGACATTTCAGTGGAACTGCATGGTGATCTTCTTGAATGTGTACCAGTTGTGTATATCAGTCTAATCTGACTGATCGGTCGTACTTTTGTGTACGTAAATATCAGGATTAGAAGGTGAATTTCATTTAGAAATTCTCTTGTAAAGTTATGTTAAGGTTAATTGTTTACTATATTTTTTAAAAACTATAATCTCACAAGTCTTATAAGACATTGTGGGTAGCGAATTCCAGTTTATATTAATAGTAGTAATATAAATACTATATATCCATTTGTTGATATAATATCAATCGGTGTACTTTAATATCAGAAACGATTGCCAATATGTTTTACGATATTGAACTCTAGTAGAATTTTGTACTGTACGCACATTCAAACAATATCGACAAAGGTGTATTGTGCTAATGACTTGAAATTGTTTCTTCTACTACTTATAGTAAATAAGTTGTGTATTTAAAACGCAAGGTATAGGTAATAATATCTAGATTAACTAGTTTTGAACATGGTTCAATATTTGCCTGTTTGATTGTAGGTAATATGATTATTTATACATGTTGTAATAACCAATAAAATGTGATACTAGTTAAGTTCCTGACACAGTATAACATCGAACGATCTTTTGCTTTGGCAGTCTTATGTAGTTTATTAGGTTTAATCTGTAAATATGTATTGCTAAATGTACAAATCAAAATTAAGGTAGAGATGGGGTTTACATTAAAATTACATTGTTTTACTTAATTGATCCGCATGTTTTTTTGGCATTGGCCATCCATGACATCCTGTCCGTGATAAGGTTAGCTTAGGAAAATTGTACCTTATGCTCTGTTCATAATAATCTATCTTACAATGTGAGGAAGCAAAAACTAGTCACAAAATCATTTATACATATCATTATTTTCATATTTGGTGCTGATTCTGTTCTACCATTCTCCAAAGTAATTTCAATTTGGACTTGTATTAACGTTATTAAATTAAAGCTATAAAATTAAAAAGCCCATGTTTCCTTCAACAACTTAATCTGTTATTTCAGTTATTATCACAATTGAGAATGTAATTTGATATGATTAAATCAAAATTATCTTTACTCCGATAAACTTATATAAAGTACTTTTGAATTGTCCAATCTCTGATCGGACAGCTCGTATATGTACCTGTACCTGTTTGTACATTTTTTATTATTAGATGTACATCGTGAACAGAGCATAACGAAACAAATGCGGCCGGGACTTTAGCGTATCTACCAAAAATATATATTTTCGACCTCTGCAAACGTTCCATAACCTCAGCAATCTATAGACCAAATGCGCGTGACATCGACTATAGTGACTAGTGTAATCGCCTAACTCTGTAGTCATGATTATAGCCATAGGAAACGGCATTTTAGGTTAGCTTGACATGACGCTTGGTGGATAAATTTTGGATACTTGACTTAGTTGGTAACACTGCTATCAAATCCATAAGCATCATCTTTATCGTTCGTTTGTTGTAATTAAAGTACATGTCAAAGTATTAAAATGAAACGTTTAATGTAAACGTTTGTCGTCATAAGATATAACATCATACTTTGAAATGTCTTTTGTTGGTCTTTTAGTGGATAAATGAGAAAGTTAAAGTTGTTAGCCATAATCATTATAATTTATGTTTAGTACGTTTGTTATTAAAATAGTAGACCTAGTGAAATGTAACGAAATATCGATATAACTACGCGACATAATGTATCCAATGTCTAGAATCATGATTAGAGAGTTAGACTTCCGGTTTTTTGGTTGTCTGTCCCGGTGTCTCCGAAGATAACTCCCCGAAAATGACCCTTTTACCGAAAATGCTTGAAATTTTTTGTCGATTGCCCAGCAAAACAAGGAAGAGGCAATTAAGACTGCATTTA